ACACATACTTAGACGTACCCTCAACGCGTTAACTTAGAAGCCCAATGGGGAAATATACATGTAAGAAGGTGGTATTTATAAATCGATGTTTATTATATGAGGGGCATGAGGGACACTCACCAAATTTTGCTCAGTAAATAAATTTGTGCATACACTAATATCTTAAAATATGACGAGTGTTGCATGTGCACTTCATATTGAAATGTTGAAAATTGCATATAACTAAAATTATAAGCACCTGCTTACTTGATCTGACTAAAATACTTAGCCATAGGTACATGTAGGTGGATTTTGGAAAATATTAAAAATAGAAAACTTTAACATATTTTATCTTCATTTCGATAATTCGTCGCCAGCGTATAAGGTCACATTTTCCAAGATTAAAGTTTTAAGAACAGATTTCGTCCCAAGTTCAACTATGCCTCATATGTTTCCTCGTCACCAGACAGGTTTCAGATGCTGTATTTTCGGCCAAAGAATGTCCAGGTCAATTAAAAAAAAATAGGTTTAAGCTTCTGCATGTAGCAGAGCAGCTACATGTATAAGCACGTATTCGCCGATCTTGCATAGATGGTGATCTAGGGATGTATATTACTACACGTAGAATATGACATACATTTTCTTGATGAGTGATCAGTGATTGGAGCAGATTTTTTTTATGTACGTAACTATAAGTCCTATTGTGACTGCACAGATGATACATCTAAAGTTGCGCACTACCAACTTTACCTTTTTTTTGAAGCTTAGAAAAGATATTTTCTATAAAAAAATTTCCTCTAGAATATGACTTATCTCGCTTACATCATAAAAACGGAATAGAAAAAATATACATAAAGATTTAGAAATAAAATCTGGGTTATGTTTTCATAACATCTACTCTAAAATATTTGTATTAGGAGGCGAGGAAATGCAGTATAAACTCTAAAGTGGGCCTATTAATCTGTAATAATTTTTTTATTGCTTGACACGAAAGGTCTCACTTCATCTATAAATTTCGTTTTAAACAGTTTAATCCGCTTCCTCTTCCTTCAAGTAAAAAAAAAAACGCGCTAAATTACCAATATAATGACAAGATTTATGCCCCTTTTCTCCAGTCATTTGCATATAAAATTTATGAAATCAAAAATACTTTTTTACATTTTAGCTAGAGTTTACTTGTAACAAAAATTAATTCTGTTGCAAAAAGTTTATTTTTTTAAAGATAAAATGACTATATATATATATATATATATATATATATATATATATATATATATATATATATATATATATATATATAGATAGATAGATAGATAGATAGATAGATAGATAGATACGAGGGGTTATCAAAAAGTTCGTGGACTGATGCGATAAAATTAATACTAAGTAGCCGTTGATTACAAAATTTGTAGGGAACATAAAACAACAAAAAGCTAAGTTAAGAAGGGTTGAAAATTTCAGCTTGATATGTTGATAATTTGCCAAATTATCATTAAATAAAAGGGCATTATATGATCACCCGGCGCTGTCGCCGTTTAGTTTCATGACGTCCGACAACGTCATTATACTCAATGCCCGTTCCCTCTGCCTCAATACACTTATCTTGATGAGATTCTCTGGAGTAAAGTAAAGACCTAAACCCGTCTTGTTTATATTACTTTACAATGTCATGAACACCTGATTTCAATGCATTAATAATGTAAATATTTAATCCATACAAAGGAAAAGATTCTTGATTGATTTTGCCAGCATATTTTCTTGTCGGAGTTCAATGTCAACCAATGATCAACATCACTTTTCAACGTGACTGACTCTGGACACCCTGATTTACGAAAAAATTTCATACAAAATACAGAATGAGGCAAAATTTGCAACTTTTGCGGAAATTCTGTGTCATATCACATGAGTGAATTAACTGGATTTTCGGATGACAAATCCTCATATAAGAAGAGTTTTTCATAGTTACACTCAGGTAGAAAATACGTCATATTCGAGGTTGCGCCGCCTGGACAAAACATTGCTTATAAAAACATTTAAGATTCACTAAAAAACTAATTTTATGATTTATAGTTTTTTCTACAGATAGAAAAGAAGATACTTATTTAATGTTTAAAAATTCATCGATGAATCTCAAGCGGTTTTAATTTTATGACGCTAGTCCCTGATCTTTTTGATAACCCCTCGTATATATGTATATATATATAAATATATATATATATATATCTATCTATATATATACTGTGATATACTGTGATTCTTTGTATTAAACAATTCCTGGTGTACCAGCATTTTGATCTAGAAGGGACTACAACGTAGTTTACAATGGAATGTTCATTCTAGTAAAGCGAACCAGTAGTTTACTCAACATTGCGTATAAAGTAAATCAAGTTGTGTCTCTTTGCAGGACCAATCCAAATCTACAAACCATTTGTGCGTGTTATTCTTTCAATGTATGGGTTGCCCAATGCTAGAGCAGTCAAAATACATCATGGTAACTTTTTTTATAAATACGTCAAAGAACCAAGCACCCTAACTCTCGATTCCCGCCTACATTTTACACCCACTAAATTCAATATAAATGGCAGTTTGACCATTTAAACTTGATTGAATTCAAAGAAGAATTCATTATTAATTGATTCATAATTTTAAGACCAGTGTCGAAAACTTAACTGCTCCTATTTACGCCTCTTTTCAAAAGGGGGGTTGAACATTTTTTCCATTGAAATCGGGCTTAAAAAATTGCTAGATTTTCAAAATCTAATGAAAATGGAAAAAAAATGACCATTGACACTTTCCGTATGTTAAACTTGTGTAAAATTCAACATAAAAGATTGATAAAAGACCTTATTTTATTTGTAATCTCATCTGAAACTGATAATTTAATAAACTGACAATTTTTGCAGTATTTTGTCTGTAAACATATGCCCCTCCCCCCTTTGGTATGAATTTGACAATAACAATTCATAAAACCAATAAAAAGGAAAAAGTTTTGTTTCAAGGAAGGTGTGTGTGTGTGTGTGTGGGGGGGGGGGGGGTTAAAATATTTTCCATTTTCCGTTGATTTCTACAGTGAAAAACGCAATTTTTACTCAAATTAAAGAGTTATCTCTCTTAGTTTTCCCAAATAAGTTATGTGTTATGAAAATTCACAGAAATATCTATATAAATGTGAAAAATCATTCACAAAGTTAAATTTTGAAATTTGACTTGGAGGTAGGCGGCAGAACAATACTATCATTTGTTCTTACAAAGGCTACTGAGAGAATACTATGGGGTTATCCCCAAATATGGCACTCAACCAAGAGAACATTTGAAAAGTGTAAATTCATTTAATTTATTACATGCACCTGCAAATTCTTTAGACCATTTTGTGTTTTGTGTGATGATTTACATAAAAGTTATGCATATATCTCAAATACAGCGCTGAAATTTATTTTAACAGTTTAAGAGACTTATGTTATACAGTTATTGCCTGGATATGAGAGGAATATTTTCACCTTCAGGTCCAACAAATCATATATTGCCCGAATCCCAGTCTATATCTGTTTTGTTACACCCTTTACTTTAGATAGAACACTACAATGAAAACTTTTAACAACTTTACTCAATATATAAACAAATTCTTTATATGTAATATTTTGTCTTTATCAATAAAAATGATACAAGAAACAAGAGGCCCAAGGGCCTTAACGGTCACCTGAGTACAACAATTCAGAGGATCCATAAACTGATAAATGAAGCTTTGTTGCAAAAAAGCAAGAAAAATAGTACGATTAAGATCAACAAAATGATTTTTCTAGCATCTATCTATCTGTCCCCCATTTATCACTATTACCATGCAGACTCAACAAAATGTCTATTACCTCTCACATTGACCTCACTTGGCCTTTGAAGAACATTTAAAAAGATAAGTTATTTTTGTTTCATTTTTATTCATGTATTATTTCAAAGTCTACCTGATCATTTAGACTAAGAAAGTACTTTTGTATTATACAATAAATGTTCTTGTATAATTCTCTTATTCTATTAACCTTTCAAATACATTATCTACAGTGATTAATTATCAAAGGTGAATGGCAAAGGGGAATAACTTCACTCAGTAGAATACAAATTAGTAGAGCCCTGGCCAGGACCAGAACACTTGACTAAATGGTCCAGATGTTCAAAATTCTGGTAAAAATACCCTTGCTTATTGAAACTTTTTACTCTGTTTGCCTCCATTATGTTAGTTTATCTAATACCCAGGAGCAGAGAAGATTTTCAAAGAAATAATGCACATAATTTTACCGGTGACGCCATCTTTCAAATAGCATACGGTAACTCTTGAAACTTCGGCTATTTCCGTGTCGCCGATATTTACTTATGACGTAGCAGTGATGTTGCGGTTTAACAATTCTGATGTTGGACTGACAGACCGGTCAACCATGAAATTGTTAGACCGATGTAAAAAAACATCTACTTTGTTGGACTTCTTATTTGTAATAAATATAAAGACAGATATTTATAATGGTATAACAAACCGGTATGTTGTTTGAAAAGCCATAAAATATGTATAGATCTGAAAAAAAACTTTGTTTTATTGCAAAGGAGTTATTTGATAATCAGGTTATATATCACATTTATAACAAATTTTATATTTTCTGAAAATGTAAAAAACAAAAGTAAGATCTCCGTTTTAACAGAAACAATATATTTATTATAATAAAAGATTTCAAAACAAGAGCGACAGAGTAATGTAACAAAATAAAAATCATCTTTGGTTTCTAATTCAAATATACATACTACAGTAGAACATATATTCCTTCTGTAAATAAGTTGAACACATGCTTTCAAATAATATCACACACACACACACACCCTCACACACACACAAACAGTAAATGTTAGTTCATGTACATGTTCCTGTCCGTTATATTGCATATTTGCAAGCACTTGGATATTTACTTAAATACAATTAGAAATATAAAAAATATTTCGATGGACGGAAAAACATATATATTTATATGTACAAGTCCAAAAAAAAGTCTGAATTCAAAAACTGGAAGAGATACAAATACAATACAAACAATATACTTTTTGTATACATTGTACATAACAGCATTTTTTATAAAACTATAAATTCCTCATACGAACAATGTAGTATTCAGACGTCTAAAAATATAATATAAGTAGGATTAAAACAAATAACAAATTTGAAGTTCGATGACGTTAAACATTGAGCACTCTAAAATCAGCACTGAAACAAACATAACATTTATTGCACATCCTTGAAAAGGCCTTGATAGCATTTTACTCGTTTTCATTTTATTAATTATGTGAAATGTCTCCTTCTTTCTGCCGCGTGGGCATTATCAAGCTGTTGATTGTTCTCTCTGTAAAATAGTTTTTTCTTGATATTGTAAAATGTCCTATCAAATTGGTCTTTAATCCAATCGAGGAAACGTTATAATGATATGAAAAATCGTTATATTTGTACAATATACTATATTTAAATTTTTTCTTAGAAAACAATGTCAGGAAAAGAACCAAATTTATATTTGATACTTAAAATCAACTGTTTAAAACAATGAATTAATTATACCAAAAGAGAGATATGAAATTATTACTTACAAACAAGGGATGAGGGCTTCTTTCTGCTTTCGGTCGCTCTATTCTAAACTGTAAGCAAAATCGAGTTCGAAATAATTTTTAAAAAATAATGATTATTAACCCTGTATGAAATGAACTTTTTCATCAACCCTGTACGTAAATTTCATTTTTAAAAAGAAAGACAAACCGATTCAGTTGGTGGTATGGAAGCATGTAAGAAATCCCAAGAAAATTCCGAATTATAAGGAATTGGTCTATCATCTAAAAATTTAGAAATAAATTTCAGCAGATGAAAACAACTTTGATTGCTCTTATTCAATTGTGATTATGTTTTAAGTTTTTATTTCCAATAGAGCTTAATCCTTTGAAAAAAAAAAAGAAAGCATCAGCTTTATTCTTCATAATCATATTTTTCTTTTTTTCAATCGAAAAATCAGCTTGAATTTATATTATAATGTTCATTTATGGGACTCATAAAATAAGCTCAAGAATATTGCAACGAAAGTCTATTTAACCTCATCTACCTATATTTTCTTGGTTCAAAATGTCCTGTTCGTATTTTCTTGCCCGTGGTGTGTCGTTTTCTATACCTTGAGTACCCTCCAGACCCCAAGGGGAGTATTGATGTCCCCAGCTACCATAACGGACAGGTATCCGAGACCTGAAAAATTCACTTCCATCGCGTGACCTGCCAAAACAAAGATTACAAGGCATGAGACGACCAGGTTTGTTTTTAATTCAGAATCTCTTTAACCTTAACTTACCGTTATAATTTTCAAACATTTATTTGTAAATCATTTTTACATCTTGTTATACGAGTATATTAAATTGTTAACTACATGTATTTTCACGTTAAAATATATCCAATAATTTTCCTTTCTATCCTGTCTATAAGTGTACTTTTTACGTTCAATTGTTTATCCTCTTAAAAAATGTTTAAATGTAAATTCGGAAATGTTACACGGAATCACCTTACCTATCATCAGTATCACTGTAGGCTGTCAAATCTTCCTTATCTGCTCTTCGTTTACAGTAGACGCATATGATGAATATAATCGCTATTACTGTCACTGCTAAGGGTATTCCTATTCCTAGTCCGACAATCAAATCAAAATAATCTGGAAATGAAGAGAGATTGACATGATTACTTGTTCACTTAATTTTATATAAAGCAAAACAGAGACTATCAGTGTTTACATTGAGTATATCGTTAAATGTGTATTCATTTCCCGATTAATTGTAAGGTATAAAAATATTCAAACATTTTGAGATTATTTAAAATTCAACTTTGAACTTAAAAATCGAAAATTCCAAACAAATTAAAATTACTATAACTAATAAATGGTGGTGTTTATGCATGTTTTATCAACGAACTGGCTGCATTTGTCGATAAAATACTAATATAATCATCATATTTGTAAAATTCAACACAATTGTGAATATAATTGATTTAAAAGAATAGTTTTAAGATATAATCGAAACTAGTTTAGATTTCCGTAAGACGTTTGAAATGTTAAAATCAGATGAAATGAACATACCTGTCACTTCTATTGGTCTGAAAACAAGAATTGAAACCATGACATGATTACACGTATTTGTGAATATTTGTATCTATTTATAATTAAAAATTGAATAGTTATATGTTATTGAATTTGAAATACGAAAGCTGAAATAAAAATCAGTCTTTAATTACTCGAGGAGTCGATTTTTTTTATATGAAAATAATATATATATATATATATATATATATATATATATATATATATATATATATATATATATATATATAAAATATGTAATTCCCATAGTTAACTTACACACATGAGGGGACACCTAAGTTTTCCACACACGTCTCTCCGTCAGAACATGGGCGATATTGTTTTAAAACACCACATGGGCTGCTTGATTTGTTCACTATGAAAGCTGAAATATTTTTAATAAAATTGAAAAAAAAATATTCTGCATAATACGTACTAGTTGAGTACTAGTTATTTTACATAAAAAGAAAGTGATGATGTATTATAATATAAGATTTTCAATAAAATATTTAGACAAGTTCATCGAGACCTAAAACATTTCACAAACTACATGCTAAACAGAAATATAACCTTTGCTTTTTCTATGGAAAGCCCAATTGATCAAAAGAGACACCCTTAAACAGGTCCTGTTAAAGATAATAGCTTAAGTTTTCAGAACAACAGCGTTTTGTGTCTTGCAAAACCTGTTTTAAATTCTATTCATGTCAGAATCTATAATGGTCACCGATGTTTTGTTCACTTTTGATGTTGGGGTACCAAATTTTATTTTTCTTAATCTTCTCCCTTACAATGAAACCACTTTGCATTTTGTATCTTTCTTTAAACCAGCTATCACTCCAGCAAGGAGATGGACATCTGAGTGCCAAGATTTTTATGAATAATAGTGAAGTTACAAAACTTTTCACTTTAAACAAATTTTCGAATCATATTATATTAATAAAACTAAAAAAACTGGATAATAACAGATACATGTACTTTATCTGAATTTTATGATGTAGTAGACATTTTTGCAACGTTTTTTCAATGAAAATTTTACAGTCTTTTTCTCAATTTATTGACAGTCTTTGTAAATCCTAAACATAATTAATAATAAAACCTAATAAATTATTTGCTTTCTGAATGTTCGTAAGAATATGAAACAATACGATCGGAAAATACCTACCAGTGCCTTCTTCATCAAAGATCGTTACAAAGTCAATTGAAGCATTTCTCCCTAAGGCCTTGAACTCCACGAATATACTCAACAGTGTTGTTGTGGCCTTGATGTAGTCACTAATTTGTCCTTGTGAAGACTCGTTCTTATACACCACTATTTCATATTGGACTATTATACTACCACGTCTAAAAAATAAAAAAGTTGCTTTCATCAATTGAAAGATTCAACATGATAAAATCGGAATATCATACACATAATTAAGGAAGATCTATATATCCATAAAATCTCATTCAGGAGAGAAGAAACATTTCCAAAGAATGCAATATGTTTGAAGGCCAAGTCAGAAAGGGGTCTTTATTTAATCGTTGATCTGATGTATGAATTATATTTTTTTTTACAGAAAACTTCCATTATTTTCAGAAAGTAATTAAAAAAAAATAAATGTCACAAGAACAAACGACAATTTGTCACCCTATAACTCGTCTGAACTTCTGCATTTTTATAATTTTATTTCATTTGATTTCAGGACATCATAAGTCATTCAGTTTAACTTACCTTATAGACAAAATAATCAGTGTCTTAAAGCCACGTATTTCATCTTCAAAATGTCGTATTAGCTGAAAATATCGATGAAATGTTCAGACATAAGTTAGTGATTTAATCAGTTTCAATAAATGTATATTTTTTTTGTTAGGCCATTATTTACACACTGAATACTAAAATTTTTTCCGTTAAATAACTCACTGATTGAAAGATAGTGTCCGTTATATTTTTGGTGTTATTTTCAAATTCCTGAGGCGTAACAATAATTGCCAGAGTCATCTCCGCTTGGAACTTTGTTTCTACCGTAGAATCTTTAAGACATGCAAATTACTTAGTGTAATAATAAATATTTTATAGGTTATTTATAAAATTAATGACAATTTAATAAACAGACACCGTAAGTTCTATAATATTTTTTTTTAACTTACCATGAATGTAGGGTGGTTTTTGTGCTAAAAAAAGAAAAAAAAATGTAGATGATGTAGAATATAAATGTACTCATTTTAAAGCATATTAATTCTCTCTGTAAAAGTTATTTAACTTACACAGACAATCGCCACTAGAATTTGCTCCATAAAGACAATAACAAGAGTAACTGCTCGTTCCATTGTTTATCAAACATTCCTGAAGAGTGATGTCACAAACAGCAGTTCCGTTCCGACAGTCGTCTACACGGACATCACAGTTTGTTCCATTCCACTCTGTTTTACAGATACACGCTCCCGTCGTATCTTCACAATCAGCTGTGTTCTCAGTGTTGCAAGTACAGTTCTGAGAACATTGATTACCGTATGTCCAATCATTACACGCTGAAAAGATAAATGATCATGAGAGTTTGGTTAATTATATTTCGCATTCTATCAAGTTTTGCTTTTCAAAAAAATAGGTTTTATTTAATGCACTCTCTTCCTCTGAGCCATAAAAGTGACATAAGCATGCTATCGACTTTATTCAATCTGAGCTCCATCAATCAAATATACAATTTTTAATGAATGAATTAAAAACTTAGAAACTTTTTAGTTTGTTTTCAGTTTTTCTTTCTTTTTTGGAATAATTCGTGCTGATTGCAATATTAAAGAATTCGAATTTTGAAGGAGATTTTGAATGAAATGAGTATAGAAGGGACTTTCTATTACCTGTGCAATTTACACCATCTCCATAAAATCCAATATTACATGAACAGTTGTAACTGTCTTCTATGTCCTGACAAGAAGCGTTCATATGACAGTTGTGAACTCTTGTATTACATTCATCCGTAAACTCACAGTTGGTTCCATTAAAACCATCCTTACACGTACATTTGCCACCAACGTTATCACAGTCTGTTGTGCCAGCAGGGTAACATGAGCAAGTCTTTGAACACTTCTCACCATACGTAGTCTTGTTGCAACCTTTTGTATTATATTGTAATCTGATTAAAATCTGATCGTTGAGCCCGTTCAAGTTTCAACATTTATCTTTGTGTCAAATTTATCAAATTTAAATGCTGTTCCAGAAAATTAACTGTGGAGATTTTGGATACAACACGTTTCAAACTAATACGTCAGAAGCTAGACGTTCACGCAATGGGAAATTAGAACAACTGTAATAATTTAAAGATTTAATTGAAGAAAAAATTAAATTTAACTTTATGCTATTATCTCTTGGGCTTTTTGAGAAAATTCAAATGATGATCACTTGAGATTTGAATAGCAATCTGTCATACTGTGCCTTTGTTATCCTTTAGAAGAACATTATAGTCATATAAAAAAAAACAACATAAGTCTGCTCAGAGCTACATGTGTGCTTGTGGGTGACTCTTTGAAATGAAATTCTTACTCTTCTAAGACAGAAAGACATACACTAAATATAATTCCTTTATGTCCACATTACTCTGAGTGAACACAATTATTGTTTCAGAGACATTTACATCACACAAACAAATTTACCTGTGCAATTGACACCATCTCCATAAAATCCAATATTACATGAACAGTTATAGCTGTCCACAGTGTCCTGACAAGAAGCGTTCATATGACAGTTGTGAACTCCTGTATCACACTCATCCGTAAACTCGCAGTTGGTTCCAGTAAAACCATCTTTACAAGTGCAGGTCCCGTCAATGTTATCACAGTCTATTGTACCAGCAAAGTTGCATGAACAAGTTTTTGAACACTGCTCACCATACGTGGTCTGGTTGCACACTTTTTGAAAAAAAATTTATGGAGACATTCTATTCAGAAAATTTATAATCATACGGAAAATGCAACACTATTACACAGTAAAAAAAATATCAGGGACGATTAATATCTTATAAAACAAAATTGCGTAAATCTGCTTAGCAATTTCTGAAGCTACAACAAAAATAGAACACCATCTTAATCACAAATTATATCTGTTCCCGAATTTTATACATAATTTGTATCTCTGTGGCAAGATTTCAAAATTTAAAAGCTGATCAAACATTCATATATATGATTTAATTGAACACTAGCATGATAAAGGAAAACTCAGAAACTAGACGTTTTATGCAACACAGAACTAGAAATGCTAGTAACAATATTTGTTTCCAATTTTAAAAATAAGATGCATTCCTTTTTCTTTTTTGTTTTATGAAAATATGTTTTATCAAGTAACATTTTGCTTTAATTCTTTTAATTTCTGTAACACCGTTCCCCCGAGTTCCCCTTTTAACTTTCTAACATATAAATTTGTAGATAAATAAAATCCTTTACTGTATCATCAAATTAAAATCAATAAGGAGTATTAACGTCAAGAGTAAACTTACGTTTTCTTGACAAATTCAAAAATATTTCAAAGCAGAACTTTTCCTCATTTTTGTCCCCACCCAAATCCAAATCTTATAAGCCTTCATTTGATCTCACCTAATTTTTTATTAAAGAAATGAATGCTTTTGTATTAGTTTTACTGTCAATCTGTAATTTTGATTTTTAAAGATTGTCCCTATGCTCGACAAGTTATATGTTATACATCGAATCCCTATTGCGGTCAACCGTCATTATTCTAGCTCAGAGACATGTATACATGCTTAAACATAAATACCTGTACAACTGACACCATCTCCATAAAATCCAATATTACATGAACAGTTGTAGCTGTCTTCAGTGTCCTGACAAGAAGCGTTCATGTGACAGTTGTTGGCCCCTGTCTCACATTCATTTGTGAGCTCACAGTTGGTGCCATTCCAACCATCTTTACAAGTACATGTCCCGTCAATGTTATCACATTTTGATGTACCAATAATGTCACATGAGCAAGCTTTTGAACACTGCTCACCATATGAAGTACCATTACAACCTTTGTAGAATTGAAATAGATCAATAAAAGGAACATCTGTATATATTTTTTAAAATTATCTTTATTTAATTCATAGGTATTGAAAAAAGAATAGAAAAGGTTTCTGCGTTTGACATATGTTTTGCAAAGGAATTAAACAAGTATTTTACCTGTACAGTTATATCCATTTCCTTGAAAGCCAGGTCGGCATTTGCACATAAAGCTTCCTTCAGTGTCAGAACAAATAGCATTCTGGGAACAGTTTCCGATTCCAAGCGCACATTCATCAATATCTGATTTAGAATTAAAAAAAATTAACAGCATTATTCACACTATTGCCTTAAATCATACTAAATAGAATATATGAAACAAGCAAAACATACTCAAGCGCATATACGCTTGTTAATGAGCTGTTATTTTAAAAATCTCTTGACACATAGTACAGATAAATAAATATATATATATATAGAGAGAGAGAGAGAGAGAGCTAAAAATATCTTGAATTTATTTATAATTGGCGCAAATATCCTATTTCTGAAATATTAATAAACTGTAACCGTCTATGATGGTCAACCATTTTACTTTTTGCCCTTAATCTAAATAATCTATTCAACATTTCATCAATGTGTAGAACATTATTGAGAAACCATGAACGAAAAATTAAACTTTATTGGTTAAAAATATTCATTCTACTTATAAAAAACATCGATAATTTTTTTTTCGTTTTCCTCATTTTTTAAAGAGAGTTTGTTTGCAAGTGAATTTTGCGTGGCCTTCGAACAAAACTGTTTGAGTGTATGCATAAATATGAGTAAGCTGATGCATTTTTTTTCTTACTTTCACAATGTCCTGCTGATGTTTTATGAAAGCCTGGGTCACAAAGACAAAAATATGAGCCATTTGTTTCATTACACGATGCATTACTTCCGCAAATGTTCGGATCATTGGTGCATTCTGGGACATCCTCTGTACAGTTGATACCCTGCCATCCAGAACTACAGTAACAGGTTCCATTCTGTTTGTCACATGACTGAGTGTTACTGAACTCACAAGCACATTGATTTGCACAGTTCTGACCATATGTTGTACTTGAACACTCTAAGGAAAGTGCGAGAAAAAATCCATTTGTCTCTCATAAAGAGAATTTTTAGTAGTATTGCTTTTAATACTATTATTATAGTATCTGCTTTCTAAATGTAATAATTAAAAAAGAAAAGCTTACATGTTAAAAGTAAACACTGACTAAAGATCTACTTACCAACACACTGTTCGCCAGCAAAAGAAAATCCGTCTTTGCAATCACATGAGTAAGATCCATTTAAATTCTTGCAGTCGGAATTGTTTGGACAAATATGTTCTTTTAAACATTCATTTACGTCATCATTACAAAATGTCCCATTCCATCCTTCTTTACAGGTACAGGAGCCCGTGATTCTGTCACATGATGCCGTATTTTCAGATTTACACGAACACTCATCATTACAGTTTATCCCGTAGTATCCATTTTCGCATTCTAAATTGATGAAGAGCAATTGTTAGGTTAATACTTTTAATCCGCGAGTTCCCGATAACCTCTGTAAAATCTGTAACTGAAGTTATATAAATTATATACCTATACAGGTTCTTTGATCAATGTCCAGCTTTTTTCCAACATCACAAGAACACGTGTAACCAAGACCTGGACCATTCTGTGTGCAATTCTCACTGCAAGGGTTCTGTGAGCAATCGTCAATATCTTTTTGGAAAAAAAACAGGGGAAAAATGCTATCGATTCTAATTCTGAGCTGGTATGAGCAGAATAATATTCAATCTCATTAACAGCGAAACAATTATTGACTTAACCAAAGCAAACTTCCGTGATATACATTAACAATGCTAGATAAATACATTATGCGTAACACTAAACGCTGGTATATCATTTGGTGTACTAGTATTTTCCTTATTCCAAAAATAAAATTTAATGAATTTTCTGAATGACGTACGAAATTAAGTTTTTATCTTGGTTTCAAAAGTGAAAATTGTTGCATTGTTTACTTATATAATTCATTAAATTCTAGAAAGAGAAGTGGGTGTTTTTGAGATGCATAAAGAAGAAGGTATGGTTTTAGCTTTATTGTGCCCTAAAAATTTAATGTTTTCAAAAAGTTTTGAAACTGGCATAAATATTAGTTGAGTATATGACTGTAATAAATCAGGAAAGAATATAGCATGATGGAGTACCATTCTTGATATATGACGTCATTAATTTGATGCATTTCTCTATTTTAAACAGAAAAAGCCTCAAAATGACCCATTTCAAGGGTTATTTTCCTTAAGAAAATAGTGTCCACAGCCGTCGCCCACGTTAATTTTTAGATATGTTGTGTAAAATTCTTTGAAAAATTACATATCTCAATATCTTTATGGTCGATGCCTGTGGACAATATTATCTGAAAGAAAATTCCATTGAAAATTGATGTCTTCTGCAACTTTTTAAGAAAATACGGGAAAATGCACAAGTTTATGACGTCACAATTGGCATTTGGAAGGTCATGTGAGAAAAAAGATTTGTATGATCTTTTTGCATGGAATTTCAATAATTCAAAAAGCATGAGTTTTAATTTTTTACATCACTTTTATTTTTAAGAAAAACACAGGGCAAGATTTGTATTGAAACCGTACCTTGTTCTTACAGTACAGTTTGCAAGAAGCATGATACACTAAAAGCAAATGTTGATCCCTCAAATTTTATTCTAGAAATAAAACTATCTTTACTGAATATTTTTACCAGTGCAGGTGATATTGTCTGAATCTAGGCTGAATCCATTTCTACAGGAGCAAAACTCTGACCCATCAGCACGTACGGCACATTGCTGAGTACAGTTCAGAACGGTACACTCTGTTTTGGCTGCAATAATGACCAATATCGGTAAATTAAACAATCCATTATTTGTGAATAAAATAAAACACATTCCATGTTTGGAATACATTTGTCTGGCTTCTAATATTGATAATATTTTTGTCCTATAAATCGACTTACTCTAGATTTACGTTTCTCCTATACAACTTACCGTGGCAGTTTGATTTAGTTGTCACATTCAGAAGAAAACCTTCCCTACAAAAGCATCTGTAACTTCCAGGAGTGTTTGAACACAACTGGTCACATGGTGATACTGGTGCTGAACATTCGTCAATGTCTTCACATTTTGACTGATTTGTGAGCTTAAACCCCGGGTTGCAGGAACACGTATACCCTCCATTTGTATTGTTGCATATTTGGTCGCAGGGTTTGTTGATACATTCATTTATATCTTTAAAGAAATACATGTAAGGAAACTGTATCATCTATTTTTAACTTTCTAGTGATTGACGATAAGTTAATAAGCTTCTATGTAAATCTGTATACGTGTTCAAACCTGTACATTGCCCCGGTAGGGTTTCATTATATCCCGTCTCACATAGACACCGGTAGGATCCCGGAGTGTTCTGACAGATCTGGTTGGCTCCATTACAAGGATTACCGATGGTACATTCATCCATATCGGCATCACATTTCAGTCCAGCCCATCCTGTCCTACACTGACATCCTTGTACGTTGTCACATGTGGAGGCACCAACTCCGCAATTGCAAGGTATTTTGCAATCAAGACCATAGTGAAAACTATCACACACTTGAAAGAAAATGGAATATATTGTAACTAGGGATGTCAACGAATATTCGACTATTCGAATATTCATTCGATGAGTTGATATTCGAATATGAATTCATAAGTCGAATATTCGTTTTTTTAAGTACACTTAAAAGAGAAATAACTTTGCAATTTAATTGGGAAAAGATCTAATTAATGAAGTTTAATTTCGAACACTTAAAAAAAATTGATTTGAGTGGTTCAGAAGAAAGGTCAAACCTCAAATCCAAACGTTTGGTGGTATTTTAAGAGGAATAGTAATGGATATATGGAAACGCCCTTTGTTGTAAATATGATTAGATATAGAATCACATGAGCACGTCAACTCAAAATTAAATTAGAAGACATTCCTATTAGATTATCTAAAAAGCATGAACCGTGTACCTATTTAAATAAATTTATTTATTTGTTCATTGAATTATTTGTATGAGTAGTCCGTTTGTAATGTTATAAGAGCTCAACTTCATAATAAATGCACTGATTTCTCATTTACGTGTAACTAATTAAAAATAATTATCATGAAATTATTACGGATCATGCCCTTCACAGTATTTGGTTTTGGGTGGTTTTCAAAACATTTTACCAATTAAGATAATTTTTCTCCTGGTGATAATAGTTAATCCTGCACTGTATACGTTTGTAGAAGTTATAATTCTAGTCTTCGGTTTCATTACTAACACGATCAATTAATCATTTTACACTTTCAAGATAATTATCTGAATTATGTTTTGGCTGCACACACTAATAGTCACTATAGTTTTATAAAATATTGACAAATAAAACGTAAATATTCTCTACTATACACTTACAAACCTCTACATGACATTGTACACCGAAATACCAAGGCAAAACGTATACCAGCTGAGGGTAGGATGATGCATAAATAAAATAAATCCGGTCCCAAGACCATAAACTGAGAACAAACTTAAATCAAAATTTAAAATCAGTATAAATTTTGTTAATTAATTTTGATAATGATACAATATTTTCAACATATGTATGAATTTGAACAATATACAAACCTGCAGATTTTTATGCATATATGTTAAATAGAACTCAAGATATTTAAAATCAAAATCTTGACTTAAGTTTGTTTTCAGTTTATGGTCTTGAGGCCAGGACTTATTTATTTTTTCGAATATTCGAATATATTCGAATACTTCTACCGAATATTCGAATATGAATTATTGACAATTCTGACATCCCTAATATGTAACTATAATCCAATATGCGCTCATTACCAAGAACATGTTATATACCGTACCTGAACACTGCCTTCCGTCGTTTTCTAAGATATATCCGATCGGACAGGAACAGTTGTAGGAACCAACAGTATTCACACAATTTTCCTTGAAGGTACACAGATTCAGAGCATCATCACCACACTCATTCACATCTAACATTGGACACACATTAACATACAGGTAAAATTTGTTAAATCTAATGACACAATACAGTTCATGATACATTTTACCTGTAACAATCATTTTCTCAAATCCCATTTTTTTTAATGTTAACATGAGAGTTTTAGATCCAAGTTTCAAACAAGAGGCCCATGGGCCACATCGCTCACCTGAGCACATTGGCTAGGAAAAAGCACAAATCACTTCAGTATTGAAAAGTTTAAAGGGGAGGGGGCTTGGATTTTGAACTACCTGAGGATGCTTCCATATCAATATAACAAATGGCTTTACTGTTCTTGAGCAGAAGATTTTTAAAGATTTTTTTCCTATATATTCCCTTGTTAAAAATTTGATCCCCCATTGTGGACCCTCCCTAACCCCCCCCCCCCCCCATCATTTGAACAAACTTGAATCTACACTACCTGAGGATGCTTCCATATCAATATGACTAAACATGGCTTTTCTGTTGATGAAAAGATTTTTTCCTATATATTCCTATATATTATATTGTTATATTATTGTGGCCCCACCCTACCCCCAGGGGTCATGATTTGAACAAACTTGAATCTACACTACCCGAGGAAGCTTCCATATCAATATGAAAAAACATGGCTTTGCTGTTCCTGAGAAGAAGATTTTTCAAGTTTTTTCCCTATATATTCTTATGTAAAACTATGATCCCCCATTGTGGCCCCACCCTACCCCCAGGGGTCATGATTTGAAAAAACTTGAATCTACACTACCTGAGGATGCTTCCATATCAGTATGACAAAACATGACTTTGCTGTTCTTGAGAAGAAGATTTTTGAAGTTTTTTCCTATGTATTCCTATGTAAAACTTTGATCCTCAATTGTGGCACCACCCTAACCCTGGGGGTCATGATTAGAACAAAGTTAAATCTACACTATCTGAGAATGCTTCCATATCAATATGACTTAACAAGGCTTTGTTGTTCTTGAGAAGAAGATTTTTCAAGTTTCTTTTCTGTATATTCCTATGTAAAACTTTGATCGCCCCTTGTGGCCCCACCCTACCCCGAGGGGTCATGATTTGATACAAACTTGAATCTTCACTACCTGAGGATGAATCCACATCAATATGACTAATTGTGACTTTGTTGTTCTTGAGAAGAAGATTTTTCAAGATTTTTTTCTACATATTTCTATGTAAAATTTTGATCCCCCATTGTGATCCCATCCTACCCCTGGGGGTCATGATTTGTACAAAATTTAATCTACACTACCTGAGAATGATTCCATATCAATATGACTAATCGTGGCTTTGTTGTTCTTGAGAGAAAGATTTTTTTCTATAAATTCATATGTAAAATGTTGATCCCCCATTGTGCCCCCCCCCCGCCCGGGGGTCATGATTTTGTACAAACTTGAATCTACACTACCTGAGGATGCTTCCATATAAATTATGACTAATTGTGGCTTTGTTGATTTTAAGAAAAACAATTTCAAGATTTTTCCTACATATTTCTATGTAGAACTTTGATCCCCCATTGTGGCCTCACCCTACCCCTGTGGGTCATGATTTGAACAAATTTGAATCTACACTATCTGAGGATGATTCCACATCAATATGACTAATTATGGCTTTGTTGTTCTTGAAAAGAAGATTTTTAAAGATTTTGTTCTATATACTCCTATGTAAAACTTTGATTCCTAATTGTGGCCCCACCCTACCCCTAGGGGTCATGATTTGAACAAAATTGAATCTGCACTACCTGAGGATGATTCCATATCAATATGCCTAATTGTGGCTTTGTTGTTCTTGAGAAAAAGATTTTTAAAGATTTTTTCTATATATTCCTATGTAAAACTTTGATCCCCCCTTGTGGCCCCACCCTACCCCTGGGGGTCATGATTTGAACAAACTTGAATCTACACTATGTAATGAAGGTCTCACATAAGTTTCAACTTTTACAGCCCAGTGGTTCTTGAGAAGAAGATTTTTTCAAAGATACCACTAAATTTTTACTAATTCTTAATTATCTCCCCTTGAAAGAGGGTGTGGCCCTTCATTTGAACAAACTTGAATCCCCTTTTCCCAAGATGCTTTGTGGCAAGTTTGGTTGAAATTGGCCCAGTGGTTCTTGAGAAGAAGATAAAAATGTGAAAAGTTAACGACAACAACGACAACGACGACAACGGACAAATTTTGATCAAAAAAGCTCACTTGAGCCTTTGGCTCATGTGAGCTAAAAATTACTTTTATATCATCCAAAACTGATAATATTTATTCCATTGATCACATTTATTTAAGTCGAATCATCTTACCAACACAGGACCGTTCATCCACCGCGTTCAGGTAGAATCCCGCACCACAGAAGCAGTACCCAAAGGTTTTATTTGCTGGGTCTTGTCTACATCCAAATGAGCAATTGAGGTGTGGATAAAGCGAGCAAATATCAGTCACTGGAAAATGAAATTTTATTTATCATAGACGTCGCATCATTGGTAAGTGACAGAACTAAAGTTGTACTTAAAATACATACCCACTGCGCATGTCTTTCTGTCATCTTCCAGTGTGTACCCGAATTCACACTCACAATTAAAACCTCCTTCCACATTAGAACAGTTCTGAGAACACCCTGCCACTCCAGTCTTACATTCGTCAATGTCTATTGAAGTGATATATAAAATATATATGAGACTATTTAGTTGTAGTCCAATACGTTAACGTATCATTTCATGAGGAATCTATTTTTCCCGCCAACCAATTATTAACCATAATAAACAAATGCTGGAAAAGATTGGAAGTAGTAGGACAAAAAACATTTTGAGCACATTTTGGCAAAAAGGGAGATTTTAGTAATTGGCGTTTGTTTTAAATACTATTTTTCGATCGATCATAATAATTTAGGTAGATCTACAGAAAGTTAGGTTGAAAAAGATTTGCAATCTCTTAAGTATCCTAGGTCTGGATTTGCAATCTCAGAAGTAACATAGGTTTGTTGTGCCTACTTTCTCTTAGTTTTATTTTCAGTCTCTTTAGAAGTTAAACGAATGCGCTTATATCGAATTAATTGATGCTTTCAGTGAAGTGACTTTCATTTCCCGTGACTTTAAAGTATATTGTGAACTTAAAGGATTTAAGTAAAATCGTCCATCTTTGAAACTCTAATCGTGTTTTACTGTAGTAAAATTTTAATGATAGTCTGAACTTTTAGTAGGCGTAGAAATGTATTTTAAAATTCACGTTAATCAAGCTATCAGTCAGTGATTTGATGAAGGTTATATCGCGTCAGAGCATGTTTAATTTTCGCTAAAAATATACTGGTTATTAGTTTCAGTAAGCTTACATATACGATGTCATGCATGAACAGGCAGTATCGCTCTGGTCATCCCATTGTTTATCAACAACATACAAAAGTTCTGCAGACGTCGGATGTCAAAGTGATAATTTTCTGCCTACCTTGGCATTCGTATGTTGATTTCTGTGTGTAGCCTTCTTTACACTGACAGGTGTAATTACCATCATTATTCAGACACGTAGAGGATATGGGGCATTCATTTGACCCATCGTTTGCACACTCATCAATATCTTTTCAAAAATAAGAAAACAAATATTAATACAATTGTAATTACACTAAGTCTAAAATTATCTGCATATTCTGGTTTAAAAAAGAACAGTTCCTCTCTTTTCAGTAATTTGTATTTCGTTTTCATATCTCCAGATAACGATTGAATTGAGTGTATTTCTTCCATAGGTGTATAAACACGTTGTTTGTAATGAAATTGTTATGTTAGAAGAATGACTTCAACTTTTCAATCATCAACTTCCCTTATTAGCGAAATATACTTATCACCTTCATATATGGTTCATGTCTCTCATTTGATTCAATACGAAAAAACATGCTCTACGTATGAACAATTTGTAAAACAAGGCAAGCTACTGACAAACAAGTTGATGAAACAAGGATAACAACAGTTGAAATCATCATTTCGAAATCAAGTTTTATGGTCGATAGAATGGCTTTTTCAGCAAACACAACAAACTTCTCATTAAGTCAAATGCCGACTGCCGTTTTTCATACTAATTGTTAGGCATTATTTTTACACACTAAATTGTCTACGGATTTTTCCGTTATTTCCCTATCATAAAAAAGAGCATTTTGCGGGTGTGACCAGTCGTCAGGGGATACTCACTCCTCCATGGCACCTAATCCCACCTCTTATGTTTTTGAAGGTCCGTGTTTGCTCTGATCCTGATATGTATTGTCTGAATGGACTTAATACTGTTCGTTATCTCCATATTTCATTTTATCAAAGCTGATGACAGTGCCTAAATAATGACAATTTCTGAAATGTCAAACATGGTGAAATGCATTTTCCATTGATTTTGTAACTGACTTAAAACATTTTGATTGTTCTTTAATAAAGCAGTTTTAGTCCTTTAATAAAGTGATGTTTTACCTTTACAAATCTCGTTAATTTTCTCGAATCCATTCCGACAATTACACGTGTAGGATCCCTGGAGATTCCGACATTCCTTGTCTGTACCACAGATTAACGGATTAACTGCACACTCATCTATATCCTGATCACACTTAGTTCCCGTCCATCCGGACAGACAGACACACCCAGTAACCGAGTCACACCTGTCCATTCCTGGACCACACTCGCACACCTGTTCACAGTTCTCCCCATAATTTGGAGGTATACATTCTATTTGAAAAAGATAATGCATTTTTATATTTATTTAAAACTATTTTGTTATGACATTCTTAATATAACAAGGGAGTTTTTAAAAACATCAATATCCATGCTTTAATAATTCAAAGACAAAGGAGAAAGTGAATATCCGTATTAAAAGGTATTATTATTTGAGGTTTTTACATACAGATTACCTGAGCAAGTTGTTCTGTCATCGTTTAAAGTGAACCCCGTAAAACATGAGCAATTGTATGAACCGACTGTATTAACACAGTCCTGAGTACATATTCCCAATTCACATTCATCCACATCTACAAATATAAAACAAATTAAAAATTGTTCTTTGTCATGTTATACTGAGATTTCTAAAATATTCACTGATTGGATCTAATTACTATACACATATGAACGTATATGAAATGAATATCAAAGAAACCTGTGCAGTTGATTTCATTTGCCGCTAGTTTGTAACCGTTTTGACAGATACACTCATAAAAACCAGATCTATTGACACATGTGTATTCACAGGTAAGATTGGCTTTTTTACATTTATCAGTCTCTAAAATTGAAAAAAAAAACATTTTAATGTCGCATTTGCAAAAACACTTGAATGTTGTTATTTCTTTTTTTACATATAGAGAGGCTGGATTTTTCAATCTAATAGCTATATTTACCAATTTACTATTTTCATATAGAATGGGTACAGATTCTATTTATTCACACACACACACACACACCCTCTCACACACACACTAAATTATACATACATTCATCTACCCGTTATTTTAACGTTAACGTTAAAAACAAAGTATCAATCTATATTTAGGTTATTCAATAAAATAAATGAATCATATGTATTAAAGATTACATATGATTACTGAAGTTTCAAAATTGAGAAATATTTTTTTGGTCTCAGAGCGTGATATTTTTCTCGACTTGTACGCCCTCTTTCTTTTTTAAATGTGTAATTAAAGTATGCATGGGCTTTGGAAGATAAGGACAAAATTGTGCATACAAACAATTACCTAAGGGGTATATAAAAATTTTGCTATATAGCAAACACCCACCCCTACAAATAAATTAAACAACAAAAAGCAAGTAAAAACATAAATAAGAACAAATTAAACAAAAACCTGAGAAACACAAAAAAACATAAAACATACATTTACAATAACAACACCCAAAATTTTTATTGACATTCAATAGGACTTATAAATTTAAATTGAATACAGCATGTCGAATTACCTGTCTCATAACATGTTTTATTGTCTTGATTTATTTTAAAGCCAGATAGACAAGAGCAGATAAATGACCCTTCTGTGTTGTTACAGAGCTGTGCACATCCAGAAGTACTCTCCAAACACTCATCAATGTCTGAAAAAAGATTATTAAAATTTCATACTCGTAAAAGAAAACACACTTAGAAAAAAATCCAGTTTGAAAGATATATCACTAAACTGCGATACACTTTCCCCTACTTAAACAAAAAAAAAAGATTATGTAATTATATTGCAGGCACCTGTCTAGTTTCTCTTCAAATATTTACACTATTTACAGACAATTCATTCTATTCAAGTTCATCCAGCAATTTGGGTTTTGATATTTAGGAATATCGTATATCAAAGGAATGAGTTGCAATCATTCAAAACAAGACTATTTACCTAGACATTCAAGGCCCACCTTCCTGTAGCCCGACAGACAATTACAGGTATAGCCCCCCTCTGTGTTCTCACAGTTCTCTGTCCTATCGTTACACACTGGTACTGTTCCATTGCACTCATTGATATCTGCAGATTAAGAAGTGGGTATTTTATTTCAATGACACACACAAAAAAGCCCCGGATTACTTCATTCAAGGTCAGAAATGGTGAATATAGCTGAACTTATGCTCCACAGAATTTGTTTGTTATATAACGAAAATGTTATGTCAATAAAATAGAGGATATCTTTTTTCATAACACAGACAAAGATTAAATTATTATCTGTCATCTAAAAATCTTTATTTATAGAATTCTTCATGGTGCACCTTCACATTTATTGTCGATGTCTCTAAATCCCCCCGGACAGTCAGAACAAGTGTAACTTCTATTTTGAGCGGCCTCCTGTTCCGGGGTGAGGTCTGTACAGTTTCTACCCAGAGGACAGGGGTAGTCTTCACAGCCGTCAACATCTTGTTCACAGTCATCACCTAACAAACAATACAAACAAAATTTCATTATTTTATTCACGAATTTTAAGATGAAGATTGCTCATAATGCTTCTTATTGCACGTTTATTCAACTTTTTTTCTGATGTACTGTGTATAGGATGCACAGTATAATATGAAATAGGCAAAATAGTGTAATCAATGAGTGGAAATCTAATACACAGTGTTCAAACGTTCTCTTTTTTAACGACACTGTATACTATATTTCCCTACTATAGATAAATCTTTATTCTAACACCTGAAAAAACTAATGAATTTGTGTCATGCTACAGAGCAAGAATCCTTTACCTGAGTATCCTATTTTACATTCACAGGTTGCTCTTTTAAAGAGTTCATTTTCGGAATTTCTTGTGTTTGTGTAATTGCATTTGCCATTTCCGTTACATCCACTACACAAGATAATAGCGATATCTAGCGGTGATGATTCGACTTGTTGGTTATCCACAGCAGAGACGCTTAAAAAAGAAGATAATAATAAGTTAGTCAATTTAAATAATGCACACATTCAAGATATTAGAATTCAATATTATGAGATGTTATTTAATTATTAAATATTTGCTTTTCTCGAATAAAGCGAGACAAGTAAAGGTATACAAACCCATTATCAAATAATTAAATATAGTATGTTTATTCTTTCTAAAATACTGATAAATAGGAATCTTGAAAATAAAATGAAGGGTTAGTACCTGATGCTTGTTACATTGGTATCATATGGTGTCCATGACGCAATACCCGTCAAATTGTCAAATTGAAAGTTTGTGTTTGGCTGCTGTAAAATTTTGTATACAGCATTTTCGCCGTCATCAGAAATGTTGAATTTTAATTTCACTGTAACGTTAACTTCTGCCTCAATTACACTGTCTCCTATCACTTCTGGTGTCTCATTAGCTGAAAGAGGAAGCTCCTTTACTAGTTTTATGTTATAACTATTCTTTTGAGTTCAAAATCAATACTCAGTTCGACAGTGAAGTAATTTGTGAAATTGATGATAAATGAATCACCAGTAATTAAAGATTGCTACTGATATAGGATTTCATCAACCGAAATTTAATATATTTACCTATTGCACTTGTCTCAGACTCGGAAGTGCTCTCTTCACTTCCGGAGGAAATAGCCAATGTTTTGTCGCCTGTGGCGAGGAAGTCAAAAATACAGGACTGTGAAGCAGAAGCACCGCCACATTGCTCCTTAGCTTTATTCCGTCTTTCATCACTAAATTCGTCAATGAAAAAGGGCAGAAAATCTGGATGATTGTAGTCCTCGTGTGACAAGCCAGTGTCGTAGTGGAATATTGAAGTTGTGTCATTCACAGACCCTGGGAGTACAATGATATTTTATACATATAATATTTTGAGTAATATCTTTTTTTTCATCTTATGATTAAAACATTATCTTAATCATTAAACTTAAGAAAGGAATATCATGAGAAAGGGCACAGCAACAGGTGAGAAAATATTTCAAATCTTAAATGTTAATGATATGTTTTATTTTCGTACAACATAGCTATCACAAAATAAGCCATTATTTAACCCAACAGGTATAAAAATGTGCCTTGCACTCACATGCTTGACCAAAGTTGAAGTATATGGCCCTCTCACTGCCAGTGCTGTTTCCTGTGAGAGTTGTACCGTTAGGGAGAAGGAAGTCATTGGTTGTGTTGCCATCAAAATTTCCCATCAGCCCTGACACATTTCCTTTATAGACATCGTCCACCACAGCCTCACACGTCAAGAACCGAACACCAAGACTGACTTTGATGGTTATTGCTGAAATTGTAATGGTTTTCATGTTACTCATACATGTACTTTTAAAGAATACTTCGGTGTGTATGAACGATTTTGGGAAATTCTTAAAATTTAGTCATTTTTTTCGTGAAAATTTAAAAATCAACTTGGAAATATGGTGCTTTGAAATTTAAGATTATTCTTACCGGTAATTCAACATATTGAAGTTCATGGAAAAGATCACCTTAATTAATTCGACTTACAAGAATTAAGGAAAGAAGCAACAATTGTCTGGTTCTCCTGTCGCAGTTGTAGAAACTGTGTAGTGTACGTAAAGTTCAGATTCTCGAATTCTCTCGTCAAGTCTCGGTCATCACCTCTGATATACATCTCTATAGAGACAAAATTCTATCTATGCATCAATCAATATTTGATCCTTTTTAACTTTTCGTTTAAAATGGACTTTGTTAACTTTACATATAATCATATCTCGCAAATGTTTTATAAAAAAAAATTAGCAACCATCAGTCATGTTATCTAATACTTTTTACGTATTTATTTAATTTTTTTTTTTTTTTTTAAACTTACTGTCTTTATTTCTTGACATTTCAATCTGAACAGTTGCACCAGTCTGGTCTTTAGCAGCAAAAGCACTGAAGATCGTGGCGTTAATGGTTGTTCCATTTTCGTTAGTAGCTAGATCAGTTCTAGCTTGGAGTTCAAATTTGGTTTTTTCAGTATCTATTTTCATCATAGTGTATTCTCCGTAACCATTGAATGTGTACTGATGCCCATCCAAAGTACCAATATGAGGGTCACCGAAAAACCAGGCTATATAAAGACAACACAAATTGGTGTTTTAGGTAGCCTAAGTGTTGAAAGTATGAATGCACAATACCTTATGATGTAATCTCTTAGATAAATAAATGAATGAATTGAATAATTTATCAAAAATGAATTAATGAGTAAATAATATATTTATCAAAACTGCATTGCGAATAACTTTACTTTCAGATACCATATATAATTTTTAATAGTAGGAGAGAGTATGACATATTTATTTTAAAACAACACATATCACTATACTAGAAGATAAATACAGTTAATACTAGCCTGCTCTAAATGGAGATCTGCGATAACACCTTGTGATTGGTCGGACCTCGTAATACCAGTCACAATGCCCTGAATTACAGCAAACGTCTTTTGGCCTAACATCCTGATTGTAGTGGTTAAACCGTTGAAAGAAAGGACTATATTCCATCAATGTACCAGCCACTGGAGGTGACCGCCGACAGGAGCCGAGGACCGGACGCCACCACCACCACCACCACCACGAAGACCACCAAAAGAAAGGATAACAACATTCCTAGAAAATATTGTTTGTGACTCTCAGTTGTTGAGAAGCTTGTTGTGAAATGAATTTAATATATAGGTATTAATGTTTAAGTATGATTTTGAAAGCATTGGTATTAACTACAGGGACATACATGTAGCATAACGTACCTTTTATTGAAGCAACCAAAATATAAAATTATAGGAAAAAAAATTATCAATGTAACAATACATATACATGTCCTGTGAATCAAAATTTTATTTTACCGCATTTCTTCCAAACGTCATCGTGGCGTAACACATAACATTGTTCCTGTAGTCAATTCTGCTGAATGAAAAGCGTGGGTCAAATCTAAGGAGACCACTGTCACATGGACATTGTAGCGACCAAGCCATGTTGGACAGCCGGTTAGCCACACCACTCTCTTTGTTTCGAAGATACCAGCTAAAGCATTCCCTCTCCTCTCTGCTTAGCCGGACTTCTGTTGTCATTTTGTATATCCAGAACCCATTCGTACCTTAAAGTTAGGTGATATATGACTAAGGTTATATTTTTTAAACTTTTCCAAAAAGTGAATACATGTAAGTAAAAATTTCTCAATCTTAATAATTATTAAGGTAAAATGTCCATAAATAATCATGTACCTCTATTCCCCGGAACAGAACTCATGCGAAAAGCAGCCTGTTGGTTTGAGTATGAATTTCTGGCGAGGAATCTCTTGAATCTGTATCCAATTGAAATCCTAAGGTTTCTTATAGGTCTGAGATTGACATCAATATAATTAAACACAACGAAAGTGTTTTCACCGTCCGATATCAATAAACATTGTATGGTTACTTTCTGAAGTAGGAAAAAAGTAAAGTACAAAATATATAAGTCCATTCAAAGGATGAACTGGATTCAGTGGTAGTGGTATAACTTAAAAGAAATGTTTCATGCTAGACAAACTGACCATTTTCTAATTTTCAGAAAAATTAAAAAGCAAAAGCAGAATCTCTTGACCTTTTCATTATAATGACATTGCTTTTACAATTAGAATAAGTTAAAATAGTGATCTTCTATATAATACTGCTAAAAATCTGTAATTGACATTGTACATAGAAGTTTACCTGAGATCTATCGGCATACAGCGCCATGTCTTTCCATGTGACCTTGACAAGCCAGCTGGTCTCAAAATTGGGAAAATCTTGCGAGTAGAATTCTTTTACGATTGCATTGGCTCTTAATAATGCACTGTGCTGGCTTCTAAATCCTCTAGATAATTTAAAATTAAACGTTTCGTAAGAATTTTTTTTTTCACATTTATTTCCGAGACCTATAACATTATGGATTATATAGATAGGGCAGCTGCCAGGGATGGGGCCCCGACTAAGCTCCCTCTATAACAATATATAATAATAATCCCTACAGCACCACGCAGGGTGCTAAATATCTAAATATCTATATCTAAATACAATGTCTCACAGAATTCATTCATATCATACATTCAATATGTATATTAATTAAATTGTATAACATATATATAAAAAAAGAATATTTATCCGGATTCAATTTTGGTTCTAAATTTCTTGTTCGTATTTGTAATCCGGTGCGATTCATGAATGTGTTGCAATATAATGAACAAGCTTATCTTTTAAAAAGATTGGTGAGCTAGCGCTGTAGCATAATAAAATACAGAAGAAGATATCTGAACCATTTGTTACATTTGCTGAATCGATTATTAATTGGAAGGCAGATTGGTGCACTGGGGGTTGAGTTGGGGGGGGGGTCACAATTCAGAATGGTGAATCTAAGAGTGTGCTTCACGTCGGCTATGGCATAACTCCTAACTGTGTTTTAAGCATTCTGTATTTTACTGTAATTTCAATTTCGAGGTGAAAAATAAAAGGTCAGTAGAACCAGTAAGCATCTTCGGGCCTTTCCGGCAAGCTCGGAAAACATATCCGAGGCTGCCGCGGTTTTCCGAGCTTGCCGAAAGATCCATGAAGGTAGATTTGAAAAGCTATGTATCCATTACAACTTTAGAAACAACAGTCTTGGTTTTATAAGACTCAAGTTACTGTTACTTTTTGTTCATTTACGTGCAGGTTAGACAACAAAACACGAAACTTCAGATCATATGTATTTTCAGATGATAAACACTTAATTGACAGGTCTTTCCGGCATACTCTGAAAAAGATTTGTGTTGTTGTTCTTTTTTTCCGAGCTTGCCGGAATTATCCACTAAGGTGGTAAAACTGTAAGGAAAGCTAGATGTCTAGAATCTTGGCATTATATGGCCAATTTTTTTCTTGTACTTTTATGTGTAGGTTAGACAATAAATTAAAAAGAATTCAGAATCCGGATCTAGACTGGTATTTAGTCAGCCCGGCTTCTATTTTTGTATGACAAAACGAAATTGTTATCGTATAATCTATCTACAGTAGTTTTCCCAGAATCCCCGACCGTGAAGTCGAGCATGCGTATTTCAGAAATATAGACTAACGTAGTTGCTAGCGCTCGAGAGCGCTAGCAATAAATGGGAAAAAATACATTGAACTTAATTTAAATCTGGACGGTGGAAAACAGGTAACAGTTTCTCGAATTCTGTTAATACAGTTAACGTTAAATTCATATCTCCCTTAAAATTGCGTTTATCATTTTTTAACAATTGAAAAATTAATTTCATTTCTTTCGTGAATGCTTTTTGGAGCAATGAGGTAGTTATTTATTATTTTCATACTTGATACTGTTTCTTGTTTTCCATATTGACCAAGTATATATATATAAATCAAAGTGTTAACTCAAATTCGAACATTTTTGGGTTCACTGGCAAATCCCAGTAGAACAGTACATGCATCAAATTTGATTGAATACTTTACAGGTATTAGTAAAATTATTCTTTGTACCAATTCTAAAACTGGTTTGACGTGTTTACAATAAAAAAAAAATGCTTCTGGCTCTCAGTGTTTGCTTTACAAAAAAGGCATTTGCCATTTGATAAACCCATTATACGTAGTTTTCCTCGGTGTACGAGTAGTATAAGATGTTATGCAAACATTTCCATTGGAATTCTTGAATTTTTTGTTTTAATTTAGCTTCGTAAATTGACCCCCAAATTCTTTCCCATGTAATGCCAATTTGCAGCAAATTCTCCCATTTTTCTTGAGATTTGGGAGTAACATTTTTGTTTAACACTCTTTGTAGGTCTTTAAGTTTTATATCATCAAAATTTATCAACTTATTTGTTTTCCTAACAATTAAGAAATTATCAAACAACACAAAACAGTTATTTATTTCTTTATCACTGATATTTGCAGTATTTCTCCTTGCAAGAATATCAATATAATTTTTAGGTATGGCGGCTTTGCTTTTACCTTGCTATATTCAAAAAACCAACTTCTTTTATCAAGAAGTTTTGTAAATATGTATGCATTGGTCTTAAAAGACTTACTATCTTTATCCCAAATATCATCAATAGTGTGTAAGCCACTTTTAATGAAAGACTCTATATATAGACTTTTACCTCGAAATTGTATATATTTATTTCCAAAAATCTGGCACTTCAAAATTTCATCTTTGCTTTCTGGTTGAAAATTCGATCTGAATTCACTGTATGCGAATAATGCATTTTTATAAAATGTAGAAAGTTTATTTAGAGAAATGTTGGAAAGGTCAGAACAGGTGCATAAAAATATTCTTGTTTTTGGATGTAAGTCTTTACTTTGTAACCAGAGTTTACCAATAGCATTCCAGTTTTCAAGTTCAGGGTGCATAATTTTGTATATTGTTTTGATTAGCTTACTTTTAATAAATGTAAATAAGTTAACCATGTGCTTTACTGAGGCAACAAACATTCCTATTCTACTTTGTTTACTTTCTGATCCCATACATAAGACCAGATAATGTCATTTATCTTTTTACTATAAATATTTGGTATGCCTCTCATTTCAATTTCACGTCCAATAATAGGAATTACTAGGTTTTTAATTATTAATGTTTTTTCCTTTAAATGTTAAATTTCTAGTTTTCCAAACATGAAGACAATTGGTAATTTTTTCTATTTTTTCCATCCAAATAGCTTTTATGTTAATATCATATCCATGGTTCACACCTAAAGTTTTAACATTTGTTGTTGTCCACTGTATTTTATTAAATTTAGGTTTTTTACCCTTTGATCTCCCAATGTAAAAACCCTTTGTTTTAGCAAAATTTATTTTTGCTCCTGATGCCTTTTCATATATTTCTAAATCTTTAAAGGATTCTTCTATAGATTCTTCATCCTTATTAAAAAGTTGTGTATCATCCGCAAACATATTGATTTTGCATTCAATATGCTGGATATTGTTAGGAATATGTATACCTTTAATGTTTGAATTTTGGCATATGGCACAAGCTAATGGCTCTATTTGTAATACATATAACAAGGGTGCTATAGGACAACCTTGTCTTGCTGACCTTGATCTTGTAAAATATTTGGATTGGAACCCATTTGTTTTAATGCAAGTTTTGGCATTTCTTAACAACATTATTATCCAGTTACAGTATTTATTTCCAAAATTAAAATTTTTCATAAGAATTGAAAATCAAAAGAATTTGTCGCTTTTTAAGAATTTATCATCCGCCTCTTTGTTGTTTTTTATAGTCCAATAGGATGTGAAGGATGACTCAATTTTTTGCATATTGCTTCGTTCGTTGTCCGTAAGATTTGCACGAGTAATAGTTTTAATCTTAACTAAAAAATATTGTCATTTGCTACAAAGCTACCCTAAAAAGTAAGGAATAAAGTTTGTTAAGATAGATAGGCCATGGCTCTTCCAAGATTGAGGTAGTACAAAATACAGCGCAAATGTTTTACTAAAAATCTTCGGAAGGACCACTTGATGCGAAAATACTGCACTGAGACAAGAAATGGAAGTCTCACGAGTACATGGTTGCATCAAGGACTAATTTACAATTTCCAGAGTAATATAAGAAAAATCACTGAAAGTATTCTCAAGAACTACTGCAGGGTAGATATACTGTACTTCGAAAATTATATATGAATCTCGATATGTATAAGTTTGCTGTATTGATCATTTTATAGTTTTACATCCAAAGTAAGAATATTTTACTGATAGAGAAGCAGATGTGGCCAAGGGCTTCAAATGTAGACATTTACTCTACATTCAGGGTTTTTGGGTAGTGAGGCTTTTTAGCAAGCCAACACCTGCTCTAACACGGGTTTAATAAAGACCCGTAATTTCACTTTAAAGTGATTAAAAAGTTGAACACTACTCGTAAAAGGCATTGTCCGCCATATTTCTATTTCATCGGCACTATCCAAACAACCCCTTTATAAGCCGGAGACCTTTTTAACAGTTCAAAGTATTTCGCTGTATAGGTCTCACCTGAAAAGACGTACATCTTACGTTGCCGTATTACTCGGTCACGATGAAATTATCAAATTTTACACACTTTTTTCGAGCCAGGAGAAAAGTAACATTAAATATACAAGTCAATGCATTATTTACAAACAGAAAATGCACATAAAACAAGGAATAAACTCAAAAAAATCTAAGACCACGAAAGGAATACTACATGTCGGCCACGAGTTTCAAGTGTGCAATCGGGTGTAACGAAATCGAAGGGTTTATATACCTGTGTGGAGGTGCCAAGTTATGAGTAGTGTTCAGCTTTAAAGTGCCGACCGCTTGTTGAAGAAAAAAAATAAATACCTGTTTTATATCAACTTAGGTTCGTCACGACCTTTGAACTGTTATAAGTACATGTACCTGTATTCAAACCGTTGTCTCTGGTGAATAGAGATTGGGAAGCTCTTTGTGTCCAATTAAAGATTGTTGAAAACATCGTTGCAATTGTACGTAGTTAGGCGAAGTAAGGGTTGTCAAGTTTTACAAGAAAAAATAAATGGCTTACAGATATACTTGTTTTAAGACACAAAATTGACTGCTAGCCCCTTATTTCGGTTGCGAAAGAGCCATCAAATCCTAGAAAGCTGTCCCTTTTTAAAGGCTCAGGGATTTTTTTTTTCATTCTAAAATCATCTGACATGTTGAGGTCACTCAATAAAAAAGAAAAATAGTGAGATAAAGTTTGACCTTGTTTTGCGGTCAGAGAGCGCTTTGTATTTACGTACACTTAATGGTAAATGTTTTTAAAAGTTCGTGGTAATAGTTCCTCTCGAACAGTCAATCTTTTAAACACATTTTTGTTTTTTCCTATTTCATTTTATATGCTGACTAAAAGTATGCATTTTTACATAAACATTGGGTTGACATTGAAAAATCATGAAGTTCCCACGGCATTTTTGTATGACTTTCTGATATGCTTCGAAGGACAATTTACGTATTTAACACTAGAGATGAAGTAGTGTCAGATTTAACAGTCCTTTTACAATTGCATTTAGTTCTTGCGAATTTAATACAATGTAACGAACATTAGATGTTTTCAATGGTCGAGATCCCAGTGATGACTTCACAAGGTTTTTAAAGGTCTATTTCAAGGATTTTTAATACATTCTTCTGCTCAGGATTTGTAGAAGAGTGAATATGAAGAGTTTTCCCCGGACATTTGATGGTCCACAATTGAATTGATTTGCTTTATTCGATAATAAAATGACATAGAAAATTATATTATTTTGATACAAAAAAAATAAATAAAACAGATACACAATTTTGTCAAATATGAAGTATGAAAAGAAAACTAACCTGGAGTATGCTTGATAATATACAGCACTGTCGCCATTATACGAGTACGATGTCAAATCCGTCCAAAATGGACATATAATTTGTCGTTCAGAAATAGCTGCCGAGTTCATTTCATTTATAGAAAGGCTGTTATATCTCTCCCCCATGCCTATGATGCCATTTGTACCAACCTGCATGTACATTTTAAATTTAAAAAAAAAACTTTTTTTTCTTGATAGAATATTTTTACGTGTTTTATAATTAAGAAATGAAAGCATACCTTCAAATGATATAGTGACTACGTATATATATATTTATGAACATGTATACACATTAATAAATAAAAGATGCACGTTCCCTTCACCTGATGTTTTATCTTAACAAAAATGATTCACTTTGAATTTTGAATGTTAAAATACTATCAGAAGGATTAACGACACCATCTTTTCAGATCACTTATGCATGTATTAATAATTCCTCTTAAGCATTTATCATATAGCTTTTAGTAAAAACTTTTTACAATGAACATAAAGACATCAAACAAAAAAATGTTTAAAATTCTATATTTTTATATTTTTCATTGAATGCAAACTAAAGTATTTTAAAGGATAAGGAGTGATTTGAATTTCATATGGGAATATCAATATGAAATTACATACATAACATTACAAATTAAAAACAGGTAAGAATTTAAAGCATTAAAAACTTTTCTTCTTCAACTTTTCATTTTGATTTGAAATTGAATTTATAAAACAATTAAACTTACATAAACACTCGAAAATCCTCCATCTGAACCATCTCCAACGAACACTTGTGTTGCCGACCGCAATTTTGTACTTGCAAGATCATCACCAATCAAATACGAATCTCCAAATGCCGACCCGTACTCTAGAGGACTGGACAAAGCCATAGCAGTGGTTGTTGGTGCAGTAGTACTAGTTGTTGTTGTTGGCTCTGTAGTAGTAGTGGTTGTTGTTGGCTCAGGAGTAGTTGTGGTTGTTGTAGGCTCTGTAGTAGTTGTAATTGTTGTTGGCTCTGTAATAGTTGTGGTTGTTGTTGGCTCTGAAGTTAATGTTGTGGTTGTTGTTTGTTCAGTAATACTAGTGGTACTTGTTAGTTCTCTAGTAGTAGTGGTAGTGGGTGCAGTGGTAGTTGTAGTTGTTGTTGGCTCTGTAGTAGTAGTGGTTGTTGTTGGCTCAGTAATAGTTGTGGTTGTTGTTGGCTCTGTACTACTTGTTGTTGTTGGTGGTGCAGTGGTAGTAGTTGTTATTGTTGGCTCTGTAATAGTAGTAGTTGTTGTTGGTTCTGTAGTAGTAGTGGTTGTTGTTGGTTCAGTAGTACTAGAGGTCATTGTTGATTCTGTACTAGAAGTGGGTGTTGGTGCACTAGTAGTAGTTATTGTTGGCTTTGTAGTTATTGTTGTGGTTGTTGTTGGCTCAGTAGTAGTTTTGATTGTTGTTGGCTCTGTACTTGTAGTTGTGGTTGTTGTTAATTCTGTAGTAGTTTTGGTTGTTGTTGTCTCAACAGTAGTAGTGGTTGTTGTTGGTAATGATGTAGTTGAAAGTGTTGTTGGCTCTGAAGTAGTAGTTGTTGGCTCAGTAGTAGTAGTGCTTGTTGTTGGTTCTGTGGAAGTAGTGGTTGTTGGTTCAGTAGTACTAGTGGTCATTGTTGTTTCTGTAGAAGAAGTGGTTGTAGGTTCACTGGTAGTATTTGTTGTTGGCTCTGTAGTTATTGTTGGCTCAGTAGTAGTTGTGGTTGTTGTTGGTTCAACAGTAGTAGTGGTTGTTGTTGGTGATAAGGTAGTTGAAGTTGTCGCTGGCTCTGTAGTAGTAGTTATTGTTAGCTCCGTAGTACTAGTGGTCGTTGTTGGTACTGTAGTAGTAGTGGTTGTTGGTTCAGTCATACTAGTGGTTGTTGTTATTTCTTTAGTAGAGGTGGTTATTGCTGCAGTGGTAGTAGTTGTTGTTGTTGGCTCTGTAGTAGTAGTTGTTGTCGGCTCAGTGGTTGTTGTTGGCTCAGTAGTAGTTGTGGTTGTTGTTTGTTCTGTAGTAGTAGTGGTTGTTGTTGGTTCAGCAGTACTAGCGGTCATTGTAGGTTCTGTAGTTGAAGTTGGTGGCTCAGTAGTATTTATTGTTGTTGGTTCAGTTGTAGTAGAGGTTGTTTTTGGTTCTGTAGTAGTAGTGGTTGTTGGTTCAGTCGTACTAGTTGTTGTTGTTGGTACTGATATAGTTAAAGTTGTTGTTGCCTCTGTAGTAGCTATTGTTGTTGGTTCAGTAGTACTAGTGGTTGTTGTTGTTTCTGTAGTAGAAGTGGATGTTAGTGCGGTGGATGTAGTTGTTCTTGTTGGCTCTATACTTGTTGTGGTTGTTGTTTGTTCAGTAGTACTAGTGGTTGTTGTGGGTTCTGTAGCAGTAGTAGTTATTGTTGATTCAGTAGTACTAGTGGTTGAACTTGGTTTTCTAGTTGTTGTTGTGGTTGTTGTTGGCTCAGTAGTACTAGTGGTCGTTGTTGATTCTGTAGTAGAAGTGGTTGTTGGTGAAGTGGTAGTGGTTGTTGTTGGCTCTGTAGTTGTTGTTCTTGTTGGTTCAGTAGTAGTTGTGGTTGTTGTTGGTTCTGTAGTAGTAGTGCTTGTTGTTGTTTCATAAGTAGTAGTGGTTGTTGTTGGTACTGATGTAGTTGTGGTTGTTGTTGGCTCTGTAGTAGTTATTGTTGTTGGTTCAGTTGTAGCAGAGGTTGTTGTTGGTTCTGTAGTAGAAGTGGTTGTTGTTGATTCAGTAGTACTAGGGGTTGTTCTTAGTTCAGTAGTACTTGTGGTCATTGTTAGTTCTGTAGTTGTTGTTGTGGTTGTTGTTGGCTCAGTAGTAGTTGTGGTTGTTGTTGGTTCTGAAGTAGTAGTGGTTGTTGTTGGCTCTATAGTTATAGTTGTGGTTGTTGTTGGCTCTGTTGTAGTTGTGGTTGTTGTTGGTTCTGTAGTAGTAGTAGTTGTTGTGGGCTCTGTAGTTGTAGTTGTTGTTGTTGTTGGCTCTGTAGTAGTTGTGGTTGTTATTTTCTCAACAGTAGTACTGGTTGTTGTTGGTACTGATGTAGTTGAAGTTCTTGTTAGCTCTGTAGTAGTTATTGTTGTTGGTTCAGTTGTAGTAGAGGTTGTTGTTGGTTCTGTATTAGTAGTGGTTGTTGTTGATTCAGTAGTACTAGTGGTGATTGTTGGTTCTGTAGTATAAGTGGTTGTTGGAGCAGTGGTAGTAGTTGTTGTTGTTGGCTCTGTAGTTGTTGTTGTGGTTGTTGTTTGTTCAGTAGTACTAGTGGTTGTTGTTGGTTCTGTAGCAGTTGTAGTTGTTAATAGTTCAGTAGTACTAATGGTCAAACTTGGTTCTGTTGTTGTTGTTGTGGTTGTTGTTGGCTCAGTAGTAGTTGTGGTTGTTGTTGGCTCAGTGGTTGTTGTTGGCTCAGTAGTAGTTGTTCTAGTAGATTCTGTAGTAGTAGTAGTTGTTGTTGGCTCTGTAGTTGTAGTTGTGGTTGTTGTTGGCTCTGTAGTAGTTGTGGGTCTTGTTGCTTCTGTAGTAGTAGTGGTTGTTGTTGGTTCAGTAGTACTAGTGGTCATTGTTGGTTCTGTAGTAGAAGTGGTTGTTGTTGGTTCAGTAGTACTAGTGGTCGTTGTTGGTTCTGTAGTAGAAGTCGTTGTTGGAGCAGTGGTAGTAGTAGTTGTTGTTGGCTGCGTAGTTGTTGTTGTTGTTGGCTCAGTAGTAGTTGTGGTTGTTGTTGGTTCTGTAGTAGTAGTGGTTGTTGTTGGCTCTGTAGTTGAAGTTGTTGTTGGCTCTGTAGTAGTTATGGTTGTTGTTGGTTCTTTAGTAGTAGCAGTAAGTGTTGTTTGTTCTGTAGTAGTAGTTGTGGTTGTTGTTGGCTCTGTAGTAGTTGTGGTTGTTGTTGTTTCATAAGTAGTAGTGGTTGTTGTTGGTACTGATGTAGTTGAAGTTGTTGGCTCTGTAGTAGTTATTGTTGTTGGTTCAGTTGTAGTAGAGGTTGTTGTTGGTTCTGTAGTAGAAGTGGTTATTGTTGGTTCAGTAGTACTAGTGGTCGTTGTTGGTTCTGTAGTAGAAGTCGTTGTTGGAGCAGTGGTAGTACTTGTTGTTGTTGGCTCCGTAGTTGTTGTTGCTGTTGTTGGCTCAGTAGTAGTTGTGGTTGTTGTTGGTTCTGTTGTAGTAGTAGTTGTTGTTGGCTCTGTAGTTGAAGTTGTTGTTGGCTCAGTAGTAGTTGTGGTTGTTGCTGGTTCTTTAGTAGTAGTAGTAGTAGTAGGTGTTGTTGGTTCTGTAGTTGTAGTTGTGGTTGTTGTTGGCTCTGTAGTAGTTGTGGTTGTTGTTTTTTCATAAGTAGTAGTGGTTGTTGTTGGTACTGATGTAGTTGAAGTTGTTGTTGGCTCTGTAGTAGCTATTGTTGTTGGATCAGTTGTAGTAGAGGTTGTTGTTGGTTCTGCAGTAGAAGTGGTTGTTGTTGGTTCAGTAGTAGTAGTGGTCGTTGTTGGTTCTGTAGTAGAAGTCGTTGTTGGAGCAGTGGTAGTAGTTGTTGTTGTTGGCTCCGTAGTTGTGGTTGTTGTTGGCTCAGTAGTAGTTGTGGTTGTTGTTGGTTCTGTAGTAGTAGTGGTTGTTGTTGACTCTGTAGTTGAAGTGGTTGTTGTTGACTCAGTAGTAGTAGTTATTGTTGTTGGTTCAATTGTAGTAGAGGTTGTTGTTGGTTCTGTAGTAGAAGTGGTTGTTGTTGGTTCAGTAGTACTTGTGGTCTTTGTTGGTTCTGTAGTAGAATTCGTTGTTGGAGCAGTGGTAGTAGTTGTTGTTGTTGGCTCTGTAGTTGTTGTTGTTGTTCGTTCAGTAGTAGTTGAAGTTGTTGTTGGCTCAGTAGTAGTTGTGGTTGTCTGTTCTTTAGTAGTAGTAGTAGGTGTTGTTGGTTCTGTAGTTGTAGTTGTGGTTGTTGTTGGCTCTGTAGTAGTTGTGGTTGTTGTTGTTTCATAAGTAGTAGTGGTTGTTGTTGGTACTGATGTAGTTGAAGTTGTTGTTGGCTCTGTAGTAGTAATTGTTGTTGGTTCAGTTCTGGTAGATGTTGTTGTTGGTTCTGTAGTAGAAGTGGTTGTTGGCTCCGTAGTTGTTGTTGTTGTTGTTGGTTCAGTAGTAGTTGTGGTTGTTGTTGGTTCTGTAGTAGTAGTGGTTGTTTTTGGCTCTGAAGTTGAAGTTGTTGTTGGCTCAGTAGTAGTTGTGGTTGTTGTTGGTTCTTTAGTAGTATTAGTAGTTGGTGTTGTTGGTTCTGTAGTTGTAGTTGTGATTGTTGTTGGCTCTGTAGTAGTTGTGGTTGTTGTTGTTTCATAAGTAGTAGTGGTTGTTGTTGGAACTGATGTAGTTGAAGTTGTTGTTGGCTCTGTAGTAGTTATTGTTGTTGGTTCAGTTGTAGTAGAGGTTGTTGTTGGTTCTGTAGTAGAAGTGGTTGTTGTTGGTTCAGTAGTACTAGTGGTCATTGTTGGTTCTGTAGTAGAAGTCGTTGTTGGAGCAGTGGTAGTAGTTGTTGTTGTTGGCTCTGTAGTTGTTGTTGTTGGTGTTGTTGGCTCAATAGTAGTTGTGGTTGTTGTTGGTTCTGTAGTAGTAGTGGTTATTGTTGGCTCTGTAGTTGAAGTTGTTGTTGGCTCTGTAGTAGTGATTGTTGTTAGTTCAGTTGTAGTAGAGGATGTTGTTGGTTCTGTAGTAGAAGTGGTTGTTGTTGCTTCAGTAGTACTAGTGGTCTTTGTTGGTTCTGTAGTAGAAGTCGTTGTTGGAGCAGTGGTAGTACTTGTTGTTGTTGGCTCCGTAGTTGTTGTTGTTGTTGGCTCAGTAGTAGTTGTGGTTGTTGATGGTTTTGCAGTAGTAGTGGTTGTTGTTGGCTCTGTAGTAGTTGTGGTTGTTGTTGTTTCATAAGTAGTAGTGGTTGTTGTTGGTACTGATGTAGTTGAAGTTGTTGTTGGCTCTGTAGTAGTTATTGTTGTTGGTTCAGTTGTAGTAGAGGTTGTTGTTGGTTCTGTAGTAGAAATGGTTGTTGTTGGTTCAGTAGTACTAGTGGTCATTGTTGGTTCTGTAGTAGAAGTCGTTGTTGGAGCAGTGGTAGAACTTGTTGTTGTTGGCTCCGTAGTTGTTGTTGTTGTTGTTGTTGACTCAGTAGTAGTTGTGGTTGTTGTTGGTTCTGTAGTAGTAGTGGTTGTTGTTGGCTCTGTAGTTGAATTTGTTTTTGGCTCAGTAGTAGTTGTGGTTGTTGTTGGTTCTGTAGTAGTAGTGGTAGGTGTTGTTGGTTCTGTAGTTGTAGTTGTGGTTGTTGTTGGCTCTGTAGTAGTTGTGGTTGTTGTTGTTTCATAAGTAGTAGTGGTTGTTGTTGGTACTGATGTAGTTGAAGTTGTCGTTGGCTCTGTAGTAGTTATTGTTGTTGGTTCAGTTGTAGTAGAGGTTGTTGTTGTTTCTGTAGTAGAAGTGGTTGTTGTTGGTTCAGTTGTACTAGTGGTCTTTGCTGGTTCTGTAGTAGAAGTCGTTGTTGGAGCAATGGTAGTAGTTGTTGTTGTTGGCTCCGTAGTTGTTATTGTTGTTGGCTCTGTAGTAGTTGTGGTTGTTGATGGTTCTGTAGTAGTAGTGGTTGTTGTTGGCTCTGTAGTTGAAGTTGTTGTTGTTGGCTCAGTAGTAGTAGTTATTGTTGTTGGTTCAGTTGTAGTAGAGGTTGTTGTTGGTTCTGTAGTAGAAGTGGTTGTTGCTGGTTCAGTAGTACTTGTGGTCTTTGTTGGTTCTGTAGTAGAAGTCATTGTTGGAGCAGTGGTAGAAGTTGTTGTTGTTGGCTCTGTAGTTGTTGTTGTTGGTTCAGTAGTAGTTGTGGTTGTTGTTGGTTCTGTAGTAGTAGTGGTTGTTGTTGGCTCTGTAGTTGAAGTTGTTGTTGGCTCTGTAGTAGTGATTGTTGTTGGTTCAGTTGTAGTAGAGGATGTTGTTGGTTCTGTAGTAGAAGTGGTTGTTGTTGGTTCAGTAGTACTAGTGGTCTTTGTTGGTTCTGTAGTAGAAGTCGTTGTTGGAGCAATGGTAGTAGTTGTTGTTGTTGGCTCCGTAGTTGTTGTTGTTGTTGGCTTTGTAGTAGTTGTGGTTGTTGTTGGTTCTGTAGTTGGAGTGGTTGTTGTTGGCTCTGTAGTTGAAGTTGTTGTTGTTGGCTCAGTAGTAGTAGTTATTGATGTTGGTTCAGTTGTAGTTGTGGTTGTTGTTGGTTCTGTAGTAGAAGTGGTTGTTGTTGGTTCAGTAGTAGAAGTGGTCATTGTTGGTTCTGTAGTAGAAGTCGTTGTTGGAGCAGTGGTAGAAGTTGTTGTTGTTGGCTCCGTAGTTGTTGTTGTTGGTTCAGTAGTAGTTGTGGTTGTTGTTGGTTCTGTAGTAGTAGTGGTTGTTGTTGGCTCTGTAGTTGAAGTTGTTGTTGGCTCAGTAGTAGTTGTGGTTGTTGTTGGTTCTTTAGTAGTAGTAGTAGGTGTTGTTGGTTCTGTAGTTGTAGTTGTGGTTGTTGTTGGCTCTGTAGTAGTTGTGGTTGTTGTTGTTTCATAAGTAGTAATGGTTGTTGTTGGTACTGATGTAGTTGAAGTTGTTGTTGGCTCTGTAGTAGTTATTGTTGTTGGTTCAGTTGTAGTAGAGGTTGTTGTTGGTTCTGTAGTAGAAGTGGTTGTTGTTGGTTCAGTAGTACTAGTGGTCATTGTTGGTTGTGTAGTAGAAGTGGTTGTTGGAGCAGTAGTAGTAGCTGTTGTTGTTTGGTCTGTAGTTGTTGTTGTGGTTGTTGTTGGTTCAGTAGTACTGGTCCTTGTTGTTGGTTCTGTAGTAGTAGTAGTTGTTGTTGGTTCAGTACCACTAGTTGTCGGACTTGATTCTGTACTTGTTGTTGTGGTTGTTGTTGGCTCAGTAGTAGTAGTGCTTGTTGTTGGTTCTGTAGTAATAATGGTTGTTGTTGGTTCAGTAGTACTAGTGGTCTTTGTTGGTTCTGTAGTTGTTGTTGTGGTTGTTGTTGGCTCAGTAGTAGTTGTGGTTGGTTTTGGTTCTGTAGTAGTAGTGGTTGTTTTTGTTTCAGTTGTACTAGTTGTCTTTGCTGGTTCTGTGGTAGAAGTGGTTGGTGCAGTTATAGTGGTTGTTGTTGTTGGCTCAGTAGTAGTTTTGGTTGTTGTTGGTTCTGTAGTAGTAGTAGTTGTTGTTGTTGGCTCTGTAGTTGTAGTTGTGGTTGTTGTTGGCTCTGTAGTAGTTGTGGTTGCTGTTGTTTCATAAGTCATAGTGGTTGTTGTTGGTACTGATGTAGTTAATGTTGTTGTTGGCTCTGTAGAAGTAGTGCTTGTTGTTGGTTCTGTGGTAATAGTGGTTGTTGTTGGTTCACTGGTACTAGTAGTCGTTGTTGGCTCCGTAGTTGTTGTTGCTGTTGTCTCAGTAGTAGTTGTGGTTGTTGTTGGTTCTGTAGTAGTAGTGGTTGTTGTTGGCTCTGTAGTTGAAGTTGTTGTTGGCTCAGTAGTAGTTGTGGTTGTTGTTGGTTCTTTAGTAGTAGTAGTAGTAGGTGTTGTTGGTTCTGTAGTTGTAGTTGTGGTTGTTGTTGGCTCTGTAGTAGTTGTGGTTGTTGTTGTTTCATAAGTAGTAGTGGTTGTTGTTGGTACTGATGTTGTTGAAGTTGTTGGCTCTGTAGTAGTTATTGTTGTTGGTTCAGTTGTAGTAGAGGTTGTTGTTGGTTCTGTAGTAGAAGTGGTTGTTGTTGGTTCAGTAGTACTAGTGGTCATTGTTGGTTCTGAAGTAGAAGTTGTTGTTGGAGCAATGGTAGTAGTTGTTGTTGTTGGCTCCGTAGTTGTTGTTGTTGTTGTTGTTGGCTCAGTAGTAGTTGTGGTTGTTGTTGGTTCTGTAGTAGTAGTGGTTGTTGTTGGCTCTGTAGTTGAAGTTGTTGTTGGCTCAGTAGTAGTTGTGGTTGTTGTTGGTTCTTTAGTAGTAGTAGTAGGTGTTGTTGGTTCTGTAGTTGTAGTTGTGGTTTTTGTTGGATCTGCAGTAGTTGTGGTTGTTGTTGTTTCATAAGTAATAGTGGTTGTTGTTGGTACTGATGTAGTTAATGTTGTTGTTGGCTCTGTAGAAGTAGTGCTTGTTGTTGGTTCTGTGGTAATAGTGGTTGTTGTTGGTTCACTGGTACTAGTGGTCGTTGTTGGCTCCGAAGTTGTTGTTGTTGTTGTTGGCTCAGTAGTAGTTGTGGTTGTTGTTGGTTCTGTAGTAGTAGTGGTTGTTGGCTCTGAAGTTGAAGTTGTTGTTGGCTCAGTAGTAGTTGTGGTTGTTGTTGGTTCTTTAGTAGTAGCAGTAGGAGTTGTTGGTTCTGTAGTTGTAGTTGTGGTTGTTGTTGGCTCTGTAGTAGTTGTGGTTGTTGTTGGCTCTGTAGTTGAAGTACTTGTTGGCTCAGTAGTAGTTGTAGTTGTTGGTTTTTTAGTAGTAGTAGTAAGTGTTGTTTGTTCTGTAGTTGTAGTTGTGGTTGTTGTTGGCTCTGTAGTAGTTGTGGTTGTTGTTGTTTCATAAGTAGTAGTGGTTGTTGTTGGTACTGATGTAGTTGAAGTTGTTGTTGGCTCTGTAGTAGTTGTGGTTGTTGATGGTTCTGTAGTAGTAGTGGTTTTTGTTGGCTCTGTAGTTGAAGTTGTTGTTGGCTCAGTAGTAGTAGTTATTGTTGTTGGTTCAGTTGTAGTAGAGGATGTTGTTGGTTCTGTAGTAGAAGTGGTTGTTGTTGGTTCAGTAGTATTAGTGGTCATTGTTGGTTCTGTAGTAGAAGTCGTTGTTGGAGCAGTGGTAGTAGTTGTTGTTGTTGGCTCTGTAGTTGTTGTTGTTGGTGTTGTTGGCTCCATAGTAGTTGTGGTTGTTGTTGGTTCTGTAGTAGTAGTGGTTATTGTTGGCTCTGTAGTTGAAGTTGTTGTTGGCTCTGTAGTAGTGATTGTTGTTGGTTCAGTTGTAGTAGAGGATGTTGTTGGTTCTGTAGTAGAAGTGGTTGTTGTTGCTTCAGTAGTACTAGTGGTCTTTGTTGGTTCTGTAGTAGAAGTCGTTGTTGGAGCAATGGTAGTAGTTGTTGTTGTTGGCTCCGTAGTTGTTGTTGTTGATGGCTCTGTAGTAGTTGTGGTTGTTGTTGGTTCTGTAGTTGGAGTGGTTGTTGTTGGCTCTGTAGTTGAAGTTGTTGTTGTTGGCTCAGTAGTAGTAGTTATTGATGTTGGTTCAGTTGTAGTAGAGGTTGTTGTTGGTTCTGTAGTAGAAGTGGTTGTTGTTGGTTCAGTAGTAGAAGTGGTCTTTGTTGGTTCTGTAGTAGAAGTCGTTGTTGGAGCAGTGGTAGAAGTTGTTGTTGTTGGCTCCGTAGTTGTTGTTGTTGTTGGCTCAGTAGTAGTTGTGGTTGTTGATGGTTCTGTAGTGGTAGTGGTTGTTGTTGGCTCTGTAGTAGTTGTGGTTGTTGTTGTTTCATAAGTAGTAGTGGTTGTTGTTGGTACTGATGTAGTTGAAGTTGTTGTTGGCTCTGTAGTAGTTATTGTTGTTGGTTCAGTTGTAGTAGAGGTTGTTGTTGGTTCTGTAGTAGAAATGGTTGTTGTTGGTTCAGTAGTACTAGTGGTCATTGTTGGTTCTGTAGTAGAAGTCGTTGTTGGAGCAGTGGTAGAACTTGTTGTTGTTGGCTCCGTAGTTGTTGTTGTTGTTGTTGTTGACTCAGTAGTAGTTGTGGTTGTTGTTGGTTCTGTAGTAGTAGTGGTTGTTGTTGGCTCTGTAGTTGAATTTGTTTTTGGCTCAGTAGTAGTTGTGGTTGTTGTTGGTTCTGTAGTAGTAGTGGTAGGTGTTGTTGGTTCTGTAGTTGTAGTTGTGGTTGTTGTTGGCTCTGTAGTAGTTGTGGTTGTTGTTGTTTCATAAGTAGTAGTGGTTGTTGTTTGTACTGATGTAGTTGAAGTTGTCGTTGGCTCTGTAGTAGTTATTGTTGTTGGTTCAGTTGTAGTAGAGGTTGTTGTTGTTTCTGTAGTAGAAGTGGTTGTTGTTGGTTCAGTAGTACTAGTGGTCTTTGCTGGTTCTGTAGTAGAAGTCGTTGTTGGAGCAATGGTAGTAGTTGTTGTTGTTGGCTCCGTAGTTGTTGTTGTTGTTGGCTCTGTAGTAGTTGTGGTTGTTGTTGGTTCTGTAGTAGTAGTGGTTGTTGTTGGCTCTGTAGTTGAAGTTGTTGTTGTTGGCTCAGTAGTAGTAGTTATTGTTGTTGGTTCAGTTGTAGTAGAGGTTGTTGTTGGTTCTGTAGTAGAAGTGGTTGTTGTTGGTTCAGTAGTACTTGTGGTCTTTGTTGGTTCTGTAGTAGAAGTCATTGTTGGAGCAGTGGTAGAAGTTGTTGTTGTTGGCTCTGTAGTTGTTGTTGTTGGTTCAGTAGTAGTTGTGGTTGTTGTTGGTTCTGTAGTAGTAGTGGTTGTTGTTGGCTCTGTAGTTGAAGTTGTTGTTGGCTCTGTAGTAGTGATTGTTGTTGGTTCAGTTGTAGTAGAGGATGTTGTTGGTTCTGTAGTAGAAGTGGTTGTTGTTGGTTCAGTAGTACTAGTGGTCTTTGTTGGTTCTGTAGTAGAAGTCGTTGTTGGAGCAATGGTAGTAGTTGTTGTTGTTGGCTCCGTAGTTGTTGTTGTTGTTGGCTTTGTAGTAGTTGTGGTTGTTGTTGGTTCTGTAGTTGGAGTGGTTGTTGTTGGCTCTGTAGTTGAAGTTGTTGTTGTTGGCTCAGTAGTAGTAGTTATTGATGTTGGTTCAGTTGTAGTAGAGGTTGTTGTTGGTTCTGTAGTAGAAGTGGTTGTTGTTGGTTCAGTAGTAGAAGTGGTCATTGTTGGTTCTGTAGTAGAAGTCGTTGTTGGAGCAGTGGTAGAAGTTGTTGTTGTTGGCTCCGTAGTTGTTGTTGTTGGTTCAGTAGTAGTTGTGGTTGTTGTTGGTTCTGTAGTAGTAGTGGTTGTTGTTGGCTCTGTAGTTGAAGTTGTTGTTGGCTCAGTAGTAGTTGTGGTTGTTGTTGGTTCTTTAGTAGTAGTAGTAGGTGTTGTTGGTTCTGTAGTTGTAGTTGTGGTTGTTGTTGGCTCTGTAGTAGTTGTGGTTGTTGTTGTTTCATAAGTAGTAATGGTTGTTATTGGTACTGATGTAGTTGAAGTTGTTGTTGGCTCTGTAGTAGTTATTGTTGTTGGTTCAGTTGTAGTAGAGGTTGTTGTTGGTTCTGTAGTAGAAGTGGTTGTTGTTGGTTCAGTAGTACTAGTGGTCATTGTTGGTTCTGTAGTAGAAGTGGTTGTTGGAGCAGTAGTAGTAGTTGTTGTTGTTTGGTCTGTAGTTGTTGTTGTGGTTGTTGTTGGTTCAGTAGTACTGGTCCTTGTTGTTGGTTCTGTAGTAGTAGTAGTTGTTGTTGGTTCAGTACCACTAGTTGTCGGACTTGATTCTGTACTTGTTGTTGTGGTTGTTGTTGGCTCAGTAGTAGTAGTGCTTGTTGTTGGTTCTGTAGTAATAATGGTTGTTGTTGGTTCAGTAGTACTAGTGGTCTTTGTTGGTTCTGTAGTTGTTGTTGTGGTTGTTGTTGGCTCAGTAGTAGTTGTGGTTGGTTTTGGTTCTGTAGTAGTAGTGGTTGTTTTTGTTTCAGTTGTACTAGTTGTCTTTGCTGGTTCTGTGGTAGAAGTGGTTGGTGCAGTTATAGTGGTTGTTGTTGTTGGCTCAGTAGTAGTTTTGGTTGTTGTTGGTTCTGTAGTAGTAGTAGTTGTTGTTGTTGGCTCTGTAGTTGTAGTTGTGGTTGTTGTTGGCTCTGTAGTAGTTGTGGTTGCTGTTGTTTCATAAGTCATAGTGGTTGTTGTTGGTACTGATGTAGTTAATGTTGTTGTTGGCTCTGTAGAAGTAGTGCTTGTTGTTGGTTCTGTGGTAATAGTGGTTGTTGTTGGTTCACTGGTACTAGTGGTCGTTGTTGGCTCCGTAGTTGTTGTTGCTGTTGTCTCAGTAGTAGTTGTGGTTGTTGTTGGTTCTGTAGTAGTAGTGGTTGTTGTTGGCTCTGTAGTTGAAGTTGTTGTTGGCTCAGTAGTAGTTGTGGTTGTTGTTGGTTCTTTAGTAGTAGTAGTAGTAGGTGTTGTTGGTTCTGTAGTTGTAGTTGTGGTTGTTGTTGGCTCTGTAGTAGTTGTGGTTGTTGTTGTTTCATAAGTAGTAGTGGTTGTTGTTGGTACTGATGTTGTTGAAGTTGTTGGCTCTGTAGTAGTTATTGTTGTTGGTTCAGTTGTAGTAGAGGTTGTTGTTGGTTCTGTAGTAGAAGTGGTTGTTGTTGGTTCAGTAGTACTAGTGGTCATTGTTGGTTCTGAAGTAGAAGTCGTTGTTGGAGCAATGGTAGTAGTTGTTGTTGTTGGCTCCGTAGTTGTTGTTGTTGTTGTTGTTGGCTCAGTAGTAGTTGTGGTTGTTGTTGGTTCTGTAGTAGTAGTAGTTGTTGTTGGCTCTGTAGTTGAAGTTGTTGTTGGCTCAGTAGTAGTGGTAGTTGTTGTTGGTTCTTTAGTAGTAGTAGTAGGTGTTGTTGGTTCTGTAGTTGTAGTTGTGGTTTTTGTTGGATCTGCAGTAGTTGTGGTTGTTGTTGTTTCATAAGTAATAGTGGTTGTTGTTGGTACTGATGTAGTTGAAGTTGTTGTTGGCTCTGTAGTTTTTGTTGTTGTTGGCTCCGTAGTTGTTGTTGTTGTTGTTGGCTCAGTAGTAGTTGTGGTTGTTGTTGGTTTTGTAGTAGTAGTGGTTGTTGTTGGCTCTGTAGTTGAAGTTGTTGTTGGCTCAGTAGTAGTTGTGGTTGTTGTTGGTTCTTTAGTAGTAGTAGTAGGAGTTGTTGGTTCTGTAGTTGTAGTTGTGGTTGTTGTTGGCTCTGCAGTAGTTGTGGTTGTTGTTTCATAAGTAGAAGTGGTTGTTGTTGGTACTGATGTAGTTGAAGTTGTTGTTGGCTCTGTAGTAGTTATTGTTGTTGGTTCAGTTGTAGTAGAGGTTTTCGTTGGTTCTGTTGTAGTAGTGGTTGTTGTTGATCCAGTAGTAATAGTGGTCGTTGTTGATTCTGTAGTAGAAGTGGTTGTTGGAGCAGTGGTAATAGTTGTTATTGTTCGCTCTGCAGTTGTTGTTGTGGTTGTTGTTTGTTCAGTAGTACTAGTAGTTGTTGTTAGTTCTGTAGCAGTAGTGGTTGTTGTTGGTTCAGTAGTACTAGTAGTCAATGTTGGTTCTGTAGTTGTTGTTGTGGTTGTTGTTGGCTCAGTAGTAGTTGTGGTTGTTGTTGGTTCTGTAGTAGTAGTGGTTGTTGTTGATTCAGTAGTACTAGTGGTCGTTGTTGGTTCTGTAGTAGAAGTGTTTGTTGGTGCAGTGATAGTAGTTGTTGTTGTTGGCTCCGTAGTTGTTGTTGTTGACTCAGTGGTAGTTGTGGTTGTTGTTGGTCCTGTAGTAGTAGTGGTTGTTTTTGGCTCTGTAGTTGAAGTTGTTGTTATTGTTGGCTCAGTAGTAGTTGTGATTGTTGTTGGTTCTGTAGTAGTAGTAGTTGTTGTTGTTGGCTCTGTAGTTGTAGTTGTGGTTGTTGTTGTCTGAACAGAGGTAGTGGTTGTTGTTGGTACTGATGTAGTTGAAGTTGTTGTCTCTGTAATAGCAGTTGTTGTTGGCTTAGTAGTAGTAGTGCTTGTTATTGGTTCTGTAGTAATAGTGGTTGTTGTTGGTTCAGTAGTACTACTAGTCGTTGTTGGTTCTGTAGTTGTTGTTGTGGTTGTTGTTGGCTCAGTAGTAGTTGTGGTTGTTGTTGGTTCTGTCGTAGTAGTGGTAGTTGTTGGTTCAGTAGTACTAGTTGTCGTTGTTGGTTCTGTAGTAGAAGTGGTTGTTGGTGCAGTGGTAGTGGTTGTTGTTGTTGGCTCGGTAGCTGTTGTTGTTGGCTCAGTAGTAGTTGTGGTTGTTGTTGGTTCTGTAGTAGTAGTGGTTGTTCTTGGCTCTGTAGTTGAAGTTGTTGTTATTGTTGGCTCAGTAGTAGTTGTGGTTGTTGTTGGTTCAGTTGTAGTTCTGGTTGTTGTTGGTTGTGTAGTACTAGTGGTCTTTGTTGGTTCTGTAGTAGTAGTGGTAGTTTGTCCAGTGGTCGTAGTTGTTGCTGGCTCTGTAGGGGAAGTGGTTGTTTTTGGATCAGTAGCTGTAGTGGTTGTTGTTGGCTCAGTAGTAGTTGTGGTTGTTGTTGGCTCTGTAGTAGTAGTAGTATTGGTTTTTGTTGGCTCAGTAATACTAGTAGTGGATGTTGGTTCAGTGGTAGTAGTGTTACTAATTTGTTCAGGAATAGAAGTGGCTGCCATTACTAGTAATTCTTTTGTCATGAAGATTATGAGAAGAATTACTATGCGATATAAAATATTCTTCATATTGAATCATATTACTTTGGGACACCGGTCTCAGTCTAGTAAAATATAGAAAAAAAAGTATGTTTGTAAATTATTTTCATTTTCAAAAAAGGAAAAAGATAAATATTATTTCGAGTGGTGTTTATTTGATATGATGGATTTTAGACTTTTTTCATCAGCCTATATAAACATCCTTATTGGTTTCAATCAAAATTCTGATTGCGCCATTCGGAAAAGGGTGCTTTTGACGATTTCTACACATAGGTCAAAAGGTCCAAGTTCAAGGTCGTAAATTTATACATTCCGTCTATGTGTAACACTTTCGTTGCCGGGCGATATCTCAAGAAACTTTTGAGCTTTTGCAATGAAATTTTATACCATAACTCCCTAGGGTCTCTCTCACCCCTCTCAAAGTGTCCCGCCCCGTTTTTTTTTTTTTTTTAATTAAGGTCTTCCGTCTCCAACGGAAGACCTTATTGTTTTCGTTCGGTTTCTTTTTCCCTATTATTATTAGGGTCTTCCGTCTTCAGCGGAAGACCCTTCTATTATTCTTCGGTTTCTTTTTTACCTTTATTATTATTTTTATTTTTTTTTCTTCTTACAAAATTTGTGCAGACGATTTCTCAGAGATGGCTCGTTCGATTTTATTCAAATTTTCGTGAAAGATGCGTTGATATCTGAAGTTAATTCCGGCAATTCCGTTAAGGGATATTTACTTCCGGTCGGAAGTTATCACCCTTTTATCAAAATTTAGAGGACCTCCTTTTCTGCGATGGAACTCAAAAACGGCTTAAGCCAGAGCGCTGAAATTTTCAGTGATGATAGAGGACATGTTGCCATTTTGCACCTGGGTTTACATATTTTCCGGAAGTGCTTAGTATGGAAGCTCGGTAGGGGTCGAAATTTAGGACACGAATTATGAGTGAATTTTTGAGACATTTTGTATCGTATCTTTTAAAATATAATTATTTTGCTAAAACATACTGAACAATATTTGTGCAGAATGACAAGATCTTTAATATGATATCAAGAAAAAAGGGCTGACTTATCATATTAGGGGCTGGTAGGGGCCAAAAGTATTAAATCAATAACTCTTTAACGATCAATATTTTGGTATACATTACTGAAGAAAAAATATTTATCTTAACAATTTACAACTATACATTATAATATTTATGTCATATGTTACATATTTAGGGGCCATAAGGGGCCAGAATGCCAAATCTTTGGTACTCTATATCTCGAAAGTGGGAAATATTTTGATAAGCAATATTGAATAAAAGATGTTCAAAACAATGTTCAGAAGAATAAGTACTGGTAACCTTTCGATTTTTGCTAAACGTCCCCATTAAGGAGTTGAAGGGCTGACCCCTAAATATATCTTTTGCATATATCTCGGAAACGAAAAAGAATTTATTAATAGTTATTGAACGAAAAATGATCAAAATCATGAGATCTTTACAGTGGTATGAAGAAAAAGGGACTGGCCCCTCAAAATAGGGGCCGAGAGGGGCTGAAAATCTTTAATCAATAACTCTTTAACGATCAACAATTTGTAATGCATTACTGAAGCCAAAATGTCTATCTCAACAATTTACAACCATATATAATGCTATTTACATCATATGTTACATAATTAGGGGCCATAAGGGGCCAGAATGCTAAATCTTTGACACTTTATAGCTCGAAAGTGGGAAATATTTTGATAAGCAATATTGAACAAAAGATGTTCAAACTAATGTTCTGAACAATATGCAACCTTTCAATTTTTCCTAAACATCCCCATTAAGGAGTTGAAGGGCCGGCCCCTAAATATTTCTTTTGCAAATATCTCAGAAACGAAAAAGAATTTCTGACTAGTTGTTGAACAAAAAATGTTCAAAATCATGAGAGCTTTAAGGTGATATCTAGATAAAGGGTCTGATCTCTTAAAATAGGGGCCGAGAGGGGCCGAAAGTATTTAATTAATAACTCTTGAATGTTCAATATTTTGTAATATATTACTGAAGCGAAATAATTCATCTTCACACTCTTTAACAATTTTACATGATGTTTACATCATATCTTATATATGATATATATATCATGGGGTCATAAGGGGTCAGATTGCATAATTTTTGGCGCAATATATCTTGAAAAGGAAGTATATTTTGATAAACTATATTGAACAAAAGGCGTTCAAAATAATATTCTTAATAATATGCAATCTTTCAATTTTTTGCTAGACGTCCCCATTTAGGACTTGAAGGACCGGTCCTTAATATATCTTTTGCATATATCTCGGAAACAAAAACCAATTTCTGAATAGTTGTTGCAGAAAAAGTGTTGAAAATCATGAAAGCTTTAAGGTGATATGAAAAAAGGGGCTGACCACTCATATCAGGGGCAAAGACCGGCGGAAAGTCTCTAATCTTTAACTTTTTAATGATCAGTATTTTGTTACAAATTACCGAAGCAAAATTGTTTGTCTTAACAATTTATTTATATCAGTATTTTTAAATGAAAATCTCAGTTATATTCTTATCTCATCTTATCAAAAATCGGACGGAAGACCCACTCGTTGCTCGCAACGAGATCGCATCTAGTTAGGGTCTTCCGTCTTCAGCGGAAGACCCTTCTATTATTCTTCGGTTTCTTTTTTACCTTTATTATTATTAGGGTCTTCCGTCTTCAGCGGAAGACCCTTCTATTATTCTTATGTTTCTTTTTCACTTTTATTATTATTCTTCTTTTCTTTCTCCTTACCGATTTTGTGCAGAAGATTTCTCAGAGATGAATTGATCGATTTACTTCAAATTTTCAGAGTTTATGTCTTATCCTCTGAAGTTTGTACCGGCATTTCAAAATTTGAAAAAACACTTCCGGTCGGAAGTTATCGCCCTTTTATTAAAATTCAGAGGACCTCCTTGTCTGTGATGGAACTCAAAAACGGCTTAAGCTAGAGCGCTGAAATTTTCAGTGATGATAGAGGACATGTTGCCATTATGCAACTGGGTTTAGATATTTTCCGGAAGTGCCTAGTATGGAAGCTCGGTAGGGGTCGAAATTTAGGACACGAATCATGAATGAATTTTTGAGACATTTTGTATCATATCTTTTAAAGTATAATTATTTTGTTAAAATATACTGAACAATATTTGTGCAAAATGACAAGATCTTTAATATGATATCAAGAAAAAAGGGCTGACTTGTCATATTAGGGGCTGAGAGGGGCCAAAAGTATTAAATCAATAACTCTTTAACGATCAATATTTTGTAATGCATTACTGAAGCAAAAATGTTTATTTTAACAATTTACAACTATATATTACAATATTCACATCATATGTTACATAATTAGGGGCCATAAGGGGCCAGAATGCTAAATCTTTGACGCTTTATATCTCAAAAGTGGGAAATATTTAGATAAGCAATATTGAACAAGAGATGTTCAAAATTATGTTCTAAACAATATGCAATTTTTCATTTTTTGCTAAACGTCCCCATTAAGGAGTTGAAGGGCCGGCCCCTAAATATTTCTTTTGCAAATATCTCAGAAACGAAAAAGAATTTCTGACTAGTTGTTGAACAAAAAATATTCAAAATCATGAGAGCTTTAAAGTTATATGAAGAAAAAGGGCCTGGCCCTTCATAATAGGGGCTGAGAGGGGCCGAAAGTCTTTGAACAATAACTCTTTAACGATCAATATTTTGTAATGCATTACTGAAGCAAAAATATTTATCTCAACAATTTACAACTATATATTACAATATTCACATCATATGTTACATAATTAGGGGCCATAAGGGGCCAGAATGCTAAATCTTTGACGCTTTATATCTCAAAAGTGGGAAATATTTTGATAAGCAATATTGAACAAAAGATGTTCAAAATTATGTTCTAAACAATATGCAACCTTTCATTTTTTGCTTAACTCCCCCATTAAGGAGTTGAAGGGCCAGCCCCTAAATATTTCTTTTGCAAATATCTCAGAAACGAAAAAGAATTTCTGACTAGTTGTTGAACAAAAAATATTCAAAATCATGAGAGCTTTAAAGTTATATGAAGAAAAAGGGCCTGGCCCTTCATAATAGGGCCTGAGAGGGACCGAAAGTCTTTGAACAATAACTCTTTTACGATCAATTTTTTGTAATGCATTACTGAAGCAAAAATATTTATCTCAACAATTTACAACTATATATTACAATATTCACATCATATGTTACATAATTAGGGGCCATAAGGGCCAGAATGCTAAATCTTTGACGCTTTATATCTCAAAAGTGGGAAATATTTTGATAAGCAATATTGAACAAGAGATGTTCAAAATTATGTTCTAAACAATATGCAATTTTTCATTTTTTGCTAAACGTCCCCATTAAGGAGTTGAAGGGCCGGCCCCTAAATATTTCTTTTGCAAATATCTCAGAAACGAAAAACAATTTCTGACTAGTTGTTGAACAAAAAGTGTTCAAAATCTTGAGAGCTTTAAAGTGACCTGAAGAAAAAGGTGCTGGCCCCTCAAAATAGGGGCTGAGAGGGGCCGAAAGTCTTTGAATAATAACTCTTTAACGATCAATATTTTGTAATATATTACTGAAGCGAAATAGTTCATCTTCACACTTTTTGTCTAAATAACATGATGTGGATATCATATGCTATGCAATAAGGGGTCTTTAGGGCCAGATTGTATAATCTTAGGCGCAATATATCTCGAAAAGGAAGAATATTTTGATAAACAGTATTGAGCACAAGACGTTCAAAATAATTTTCTGAACAATATGTACTCTTTCAATTTTTGCTAGACGTCCCCATTTAGGACTTGAAGGGCCGGTCCTTAATATTCCTTTTGCATATATCCCGAAAACAAAAAAAGAATTTCTGAATAGTTGTTAAACAAAAAGTGTTCAAAATCATTAGAGCTTTAAGATGATATCAAGAAAAAGGGGCTGATCTCTCACATAAGGGGCCAAGA